GTTTTTGTCAGCATTCAAGAGTCTCTCATGGTTTGCCTCTCTCCCTTTCCCCCACCATTTCCCCCCTTCTTCTCCCGATTGGTCCTCTGTTAAGTTCCTCCTAGTCCTCCTATACGTGCACACATATGATATTTGTCCTGGTAAGAAGAAGGTTTCTGTTTTAAGTTGTTGTTTTGCCTGCTTCAGATTCTGTATCCCCTCTCTGTCTTACCCTCCCCTGCTTACGCTGTCTCTCTCTCTCTCAGAAATAAGTAAAAACATTTAAAAAAATTTAAAAATTAAGTTGTTGATGTTTTAATGAGAGAATTAAGTTCGGGGAAAGGAGCCAACGGGAAGGTGAAGACAGAGGGAAAAAAGGAGTGGATAGAATAGCATTCCAAAGAAGAGGGCCTGTGAGTACCTGGAAGTTCAGGAAATCATGAACCCCCAAAGAACCGCTGATAAGTTTTCTCCTTTATCCTTAGGCTGATCCAGAGCCCCCCGCAGTGAGCACAGCCTGTGCTCCTGCCCACGAATACCCTCCGCCCACTGACAGCACCTCCTTGGGAAACATCTTGACAGCAATGGCCTATGAAGGTTAAAGGCCCTGGAATTGAAGGGTGGGAAAGTTGTGACCTTGCCCCTGATATCTTCAGTTGCTAAAGATGCCCACCAACAGACTTCTCTCTCCCTGGCTTCTGTTATGACAGACCCTTGACTGGGTCACCAGAGGGGCCTTCTACTTGGGTTGGTTTTTGTTTTAGAGCCAGAAGCAGCTCCTGTGCCCTTGCTTGGAAGTGACAAGAGTGCTTTCACCAGAGTAGCATCCATGGTTTCCCTTCAGCCTACAGGTTAGGATGGGCTCCTGGGATCCTGCCTCATTTCCAGATCTGGTACTAATGATAAAGACTAAAGCAGTCAGAGGTGCTTTGCTCTAAAAACCTCAATTTTACGTGGGCTCATTTTATTTCTGCCTTTTGGGATCTGCAGTATTCCGGACATTCAGATCCTATGGGTGGGGAACATGGATAAGAGTTGTGGCAATGATGGCCACACGCACTTCTTCCTTCCAGAGCCAAAGAGCTCTATCTCCAGCTAGGACTTGCTCTTTCAGAGACCCCGGGCATGGAGAAGAGCCTGGCAAACATGGGTACAGTGACTCTGGAGCTGCAAAGCCTGTGTTCCCTGCTTCAGGAGTCTAAAGAAGAAGCCATCAGGGCTCTGCAGCGAAGGATGTGAGTGGAGGGCAGTCTTGATTAGAGAGGACAGGTCAAGCGAGACAGGTCAAGGGCCCAGCCAGCGCCTGAGAGGACAGAAATAATGCCGAATTCTTCCCTCCCCTAGTTGTGATCTGCAGGCTAGGCTACAGGCCCAGGAAGAACAGCATCAGGAAGCCCAGAAGGCAAAGGAAGCAGACATAGAGAAGCTGAACCAGGCCTTGTGCGTGCGCTACAAGGTGAAGGAGGGGCCTGAAAGTGGGGCGACGCAGAACTGGGGCAGCTCTGCTGGCCCACTGGGAGCCATGGTCTCTTCAGAAATCTGGGTGGTGGGGATTTTCCAACCATTGCCCTAGTTTTGCCCTTCCTGGGGTCAGACATTTCACATGTTTGGGAATTCGCTGTGGGCTGACCCATCTGCCAGGCTGACCTAGAAGTCAGGAACTCTGGCAGATCTCTCTCAACTCTGAAATGTGCCTGCTTACCATAGCCCTGGAGGAAGAACTGGGATGTTATCAGTTGGTATTACTGGAGCTGAACCTGGGTCCTATCTCCAGGCGAGGGCTGCAAGGAAGCCAGCTCTTCCAGTACTTCTTTCCTCCCTTTCCCTGCACAGAATGAAAAGGAGCTCCAGGAAGTGATACAACAGCAGAACGAGAAGATCCTAGAGCAGATAGACAAGAGTGGCGAGCTCATAGTACGTTCAGGGTGATGCCCGGCCATCTATCTTCTGTGTCACTGATAGCTAGAATCTCAAACATGAGCATTGGGTCCCCCCTCCAATCTCCCCCTCCAGTGTGTGGAACCCTTGTTCACCACAGGGGATGAAAAGGATAGAGAGGCCTTTTGAGGGCACTGGGTACCTCTCCCTTCTCCTCCCCAGAGCCTTAGAGAGGAGGTCACCCAGCTCACCCGCTCACTTCGGCGTGCGGAGACAGAGACCAAGGTGCTACAAGAGACCCTAGCAGGTCAGCTGAACCCCGACTGTCAGCCGATGGCCACTAACTGGGTCCAGGAGAAGGTGTGGCTCTCCCAAGAGGTAAGAGGTAACGCGGAGTTAACAAAGGAGCTGGGCAGCTGGAGGGATCCCTAGGCTGTGCCTCTGCTGATCTGGACACATCTATAGGTGGACAAGCTGAGGGTGATGTTCCTGGAGATGAAAAATGAGAAGGCAAAACTCATGGTCAAGTTCCAGAGCCATGTAAGAATTCCCATGCCATTCCAGGGCTATTTCCCACTGCTACTAGCAAGTGCTCTGCCAGATTTTCCTGGTCCCACAAGCTATGCTGTTCTTCTGAGTATGAGGACTTAACGCAACCTATTTGCTTTCTAGAGAAACATCCTAGAGGAGAATCTTCGGCGCTCTGACAAGGAATTAAAGAAACTAGATGACATCGTCCAGCATATCTATGGGGTAAAGGAGGGAGGGAGTTGATGCTAAAGGAGCTACAGCTGCTGGCACGAGGCTTGGCCCCGGGAAGTACTGCTGAGCATTGATTTGGTCCCCAGCCAGGGCTGAGCACTGGGCCTGCCTCACTGCTGCAGCCTTCCCTGTGATTTCTGCTTCCTCCCCTCTGACTCAGTTAGTGCTCCCTGGGGCCGAGAGCCTTGGACTTGTGGCCCTGAGCTGCCTTTTCTGTTTCCCTTTTCAGACTCTGCTGTCCATCCCAGAGGTCGTGAGGGGTTGCAAGGAGCTACAGGGATTGCTGGAGTTTCTGAGCTAAGACAATGAAAGCTCGGATCTGTTCTACCCCTTTTTACCTGCTATACTCCCTTACCCCAACATCAGGACCAACTGGCATAGAGCTAGCTATGTTTAATGCTATTTAAATAAAGTATATTTAATGTATTTCTTAATTGAGGTTCACTCAGTTCTTATTTTTGGGGTATGGGAGGTGGATGAGATCAAAGAAGCTTGCTGGCCCTCCTCCCCTGCGCACCCTCCCCACCACGCTCTGGCTGCTTCCAGAGCCAAAGTTGGCTGCCCCTCCTCCCTTTCTTGCTTCCTCAATATTCTGGGCACTTGGACTGCTTGTTCCCTGGCTCGTAGCCTGGGGGCGGGACAGAGGAGGATTCATTCTCTTACCTTCTCCATCCCACTCTAGGCTAGGTCTTGGTAAATAAGGGGATGAGGACAGAAAACTCAGTTCCTACTCCCTGTGCTGGACTGCCACCCTTTGTCGGTGCCACCTTACCCCACCAGTTGTGACTGGTTAGGTGACTCTCCTTCACCAGACCAGGCCCAATTCCCAGCATCCAGCACAGTGCGCGGCACACGGTAAAGGCGATTGTGGCAGAAATGAGGGCAAGGCCGTTTCTTGCCCCTGCGGCCCTATTGGCAGGGCTCCACGAGGTGGGAGAGGACAACCGCCTCTGAGAACCTGGCCGGCTAGTCACTCCACCTTGTGGCCCCGCCTCTGTGGGCGTGGCCTTGCTGCGACACCAGTCGGGGGAGGGGGCGTGGCTATAGCGGGGAGGTGCCCGCCCCTCGGGGGTGTCACGTAGCTCTGCGGCATCCGCAGCCTCATTTACAGGAGCCGGAGCTGGAGCCACAGCTGTCGCCGACCTTAATCCGCGTGTTCCTGTGGCTGCCGCTGCTAACTCGCTGTGCACAGGTGAGGCCGGGACGAGGCGGGAGCATCTCCGCTTCCTCTCTCTGATTCTTCCTTCTGTCACCCTTGCCCTGCTCCCAAAGGTGCCTGATGTGCCTTCTCAGCTCTCTCCTTACATCCTCTCTCCTTTCTGTCCACCTGGAACCCTGTGGTTCAGCCTCGTCCACAACACCCCTTCCTCTCAGCTCTCGGGTCCGGGCCCGGATGCAGGTCTTCTAATACCGAGTCTTCCTCTGCCTACTGGATTTTTTCCCTGGGGTCCGCCTCTCCCACCCAGCCCAGTTTCATCGCAGCCTGCTCCCTGTCCTAGGCTAAGTTCCCCGTCCCGCTGTCTTGCCTTCTCTGGCCTGGTTTCGTTAGCCTGTCTCCCTATCCCCTCCCCACAGGTCTCCCCCCCTGCTCCTGCGTCTCTCCCTCCCTTTCTCAGGCCCTCTACTCACTCCTTTCAACCCTGATCCTCGGCTCCCGTCTGGCTGCAAAGGCGGTCAGGTTTGAGCTATGGAAAAGAAGCGGTAACAGAAGCCTATGTGGCACAAAAAAGTGCCACTCCTGCTCCCCACTTGTCCCCCACTTTTTGCTCCAGAAGATGAGGGAAGAGGAGTGATAGGTACTTTTGCCTCATTCTGAAGCCTTGGAAGTAAGTGCGCTTTTCCCTAGGGATCCTGCTAAGGACGATCAAGGGCAACTGGAAAGGCCGGGGCCCATGCCCTGCCTGAAGGAGCCAAATTCAGCGAAAGAAGGACCGGATCTTCGTTTGGGCAGTAGTTTCACAAGAAGACCTGTAGCGTCAGGGCTGCTCACCTCCCTGCCCCCACCTTGCATCTTTCCCCAGGGCTGGGAAGGGTGCCCACCAGTGACAAAAGGAGATGTGGGAACTGGGGCCCTAAGCCTGCTAGCTGTCAGAGGGATTGGTGTCACTGTGTTGCCCAGGACCTATGCCAAGGACTACCGCCTTGTTCCCAGCTTCCATGCTCGTTGGGAGGTGGGGGTGGGGGCGGAGGCCATTTGGCCCATATGGCCAAGAGAGGAGGTGGAAGGTCGGGTCCAGCTTTTCTTTCTTGTCTCAATTCTGCAGAGCTGTCGCCATGCCCCACTCATACCCAGCCCTCTCTGCTGAGCAGAAAAAGGAGTTGTCTGACATTGCCCTCCGGATTGTGGCCCCAGGCAAAGGCATTCTGGCCGCTGATGAGTCTGTAGGTAGGTGAGGGCCTGTGACTAGGTGGTGTAGAGGCGGCCAGAGAGCCCTGGGGGTGAGCTTGCTACCCCTCCTGTGTTTGCCCCCAGGAAGCATGGCCAAGCGGCTGAGCCAAATTGGAGTGGAGAACACAGAAGAAAACCGCCGGCTGTACCGCCAGGTCCTGTTCAGTGCTGATGACCGTGTGAAGAAGTGCATTGGAGGGGTCATCTTCTTCCACGAGACACTCTACCAGAAAGATGACAGCGGTGTTCCCTTCGTTCGCACCATCCAGGATAAGGGCATTGTCGTGGGCATCAAGGTGCAGCCACTGGCCCTCCATGGGGGGCTGAATGTGGACATAGGTGTGTGTGAGAGAGGGGACAAGGGGAATCTGCCCGGGTTCAGCCTTCTGCCTGTGTTTCCCCTACAGGTTGACAAGGGTGTAGTTCCTCTGGCCGGGACCGATGGAGAAACCACCACGCAAGGTATAGGATGGGTGGGCTTCAGGACCACAGGGCCGTTGGGTGGTGGATGCTGGCCCAGAGGGGGGCAGAGTGATGAGGCTGGCACTGTGCCTGCAGGGCTGGACGGGCTCTCGGAACGCTGTGCCCAGTACAAGAAGGATGGAGCCGACTTTGCCAAGTGGCGCTGCGTGCTGAAAATCAGTGAGCGCACACCCTCAGCACTTGCCATTCTGGAGAATGCCAACGTGCTGGCCCGCTATGCCAGCATCTGCCAGCAGGTGTGTGTATGTGTGAGGGGGTCGGATGGGTGCCCTGTGCCAGGTGTGGAGAGGGTTACCAGGGCTTTCTCCCCTCCTACCTGCTGCCCCTCCCAAGTCATTCCACTCTTACCTGCAGAACGGCATTGTGCCTATTGTGGAACCGGAGATCCTGCCTGATGGAGACCATGACCTCAAACGCTGTCAGTATGTTACGGAGAAGGTGAGTCCACACCTGGGCACAGACACGTACCGCAGGGACAGCCTGAAAGGAGAGCCGCTTCCCCGTAGGCCCTGGCTCAGATGCAGGCACTTTCCCCAAGCCCTCTTTTACTTCATCCAGGAACATACCTGTGAGTTTGAGCCTGTACTGCCCCTCCCAGTCATGCCCACTTTCCCCTCAACAGGGGGCATTGAGCAGGTGTCCAGAACCTTAGTAAACCTCTGGTCCCCAGGTCTTGGCTGCCGTGTACAAGGCCCTGAGTGACCATCACGTGTACCTCGAAGGGACTCTGCTCAAGCCCAACATGGTGACCCCTGGCCATGCCTGTCCCATTAAATACAGCCCAGAGGAGATCGCCATGGCAACGGTCACTGCCCTGCGTCGCACTGTGCCCCCGGCTGTCCCAGGTACCACCGTGCTGTCTACTCCGTTCCTATCCCTAAGGCCCATCCTCAGGGTGTTGCGGCCTTCATGGGTCCTGTATCCTGGAAAAATAGAGTTGACCAGTTTGTCATCGCTTCTCTACCCTAGGAGTGACCTTCCTGTCTGGCGGTCAGAGTGAAGAGGAAGCGTCACTCAACCTCAATGCTATCAACCGCTGCCCCCTTCCTCGGCCCTGGGCCCTCACCTTCTCCTATGGGCGTGCCCTGCAGGCCTCTGCCCTCAGTGCCTGGCGAGGGGAACAGGACAATGCCGGGGCTGCCACTGAGGAGTTCATCAAGCGGGCCGAGGTTGGGAGCTGGAGGCGGTGATTCGGGGAGAGGGGCACAGCTAGGCAGGGGACAGCGTTCAGGGGTCTCAGCCTGGGCAGGGTTTGGCACCTGTGGGCTGGGTCAGCCTGTTCACTCCCCGCCCTCACCCCCCCCCCCCCACTTTTGCAGGTGAATGGGCTTGCGGCCCAGGGCAAGTATGAAGGCAGTGGAGAAGATGGCGGAGCAGCTGCCCAATCCCTCTACATCGCCAACCATGCCTACTGAATACCCATTCCATGTCACAGCCCATGGCATGGCCGCCTGCACCCAGTTTCACCTATAGTAATGGCTAGCACCAAATAGCCGCTCAGAGCAGACGTGACTCCATCCAGCACTGAGTGATCTTCCTTTTTTACCCTTCCTTCCCCTCTCCCATTGCTGCCACCTGGGACCATTAGATGGATGGGGTGCCCCTCATGACTGAGGGCAGAAGTTGCTAGAAGTCAGAGCAGGATGCTTCTGTTTCCCCCTGCCTCTGCTAGCCCCCACAATTCCCCCCACGATGTGGTAGTTTCTCCTTGAGCTTTCCTTGCCTGTCCTGTCTCCTGGGAGCAGAGGACAGGACACCAGACATGACTCACACCTTGGGTACATACCACCTAGCAAATAAATGGTAGCAAAACATGCTACTTTGTCTGTCTGTTTTACCCGTCAGATGCCCACTTCTCAGTTTCTGATTCCCGCTGACTGTCTGGGCCCTGTGGAGGTGGGGAGTGTAGGTTTTGAGTTGCAGTGGGCTGGAAGTGCCGAGGGGAGGGGCACACCCAGTCACCATCCCCAGCTCAAGCTCTTGATGGTTCATGTCCAAAGCTGGAGGGCTGCAGGTCTTTCAGGGACCGCCACATCGGAGGCACTGGGCTGCGTCCGAAGGGTGGAGTAAGGCGAGACTCGTGCAATTCCTTTTTTTTTTTTTTAAAACAATTTTTTTTAATGTTTTATTTATTTCTGAGAGAGAGAGAGAGAGACAGCGTGAGCAGGGGAAGGTCAGAGAAAGAGGGAGAGACAGAATCTGAAGCAGGCTCCAGGCTCTGAGCTGGCAGTCAGCACAGAGCCCGACGTGGGGCTCGAACCCACGAACCATGAGATCATGACCTGAGCCGAAGTCGGACACTTAACCGACTGAGCCACCCAGGCGCCCCGACTCGTGCAATTCCTGAAGGCAGCTTTTGCGCGTGGCCCAAAACTGGGCTAAGGGGGATGGGAGTCCCTCACTTCTCCTGTGTAGCTGAGCCCTGCTGGGGCTTGAGACATTCGGAAAAGCCCCAAGGCTCAGGACTGCCAGACGGTACCTGGGAGGTTGCCAAGGGCCATTACTGCCCGTTCCCGTTTGGGGTACATGAGGGCACAGAGAAGGCCAATTTGAGGGTCTGGGCAAGGGAAGACCTGGTGAGGTTTAGCGCTAAACTTTGACCACTTGGCTAGAGTTTGCACGGCCGGCGGTACATCAAGCACCTGGGGCTGTCTGAAGGGATGACAAGTTGAAAGAACTTGCCAGGTGTGTTCTGTGCGAACTGGGCGGGCCATGCTCTGTGTAAAGTGCACAATCAATGCTCCACCCGTAGGCCCGGTGTGACCCAACCTTATATTAACAAAAATAGCTAACAGTTATATAGCACTTTCTATGTGCTCCTGCCAGGACCTATTCTAATCACTTTACATTTACTAACTCATTTACTGCAACACTGTATGAAGTAGATACTATTACTATCCCTATTTTAATGAGGAAACAGGCACAGAGGGGTTAGTTAGTTAACTTCTCAAGGTGGGGTGATAAAGTCAGGATTTAAACCCAAGAGATCAGGATCCAGAGTCTGTGCTCATGAGTTTTCGAGAATTTTAAGTGAAGTATTCAGACTTTTACAACTTGGAAATGAACTCAAATGAATTAAAAAAGAAAAAAAAAAGACTGAACGAGCCAAATATGCTAAAAAGGTACTACTAGCTTGCTGTCTCCATATTTGAAGCCTGAGGAGAGAGTGCCCAGAAGAGGGGCTCTCTGATACGGAGGATCCAGTTATCCTGACAGGTGATATTTGGGTGCATTCCGTGCCGGGTTCTTTACACGAATGACCTCATTTTATTTTTTTTAAGTAATCTCTACACCCAACGTGGGGCTCGAACTCAGGACCCCAAGATCAAGACTCACCTGCTCTACCGACTGGGCCAGCCAAGCGCCCTTGAATGACCTCGTTTTAGTAAATATCTCCATTTTCCAGAAGAGAAAACTGAGACTTAGAGCTGCCCGTGATCGCCCAACTAGTATTTAACGCCGGCAGAGTTTGCTCTCTTGACCCCTGGGGCTAGACGTGTGTTCCACAAGGAAACGGGGTACTAACGAACAATCCCCCTGCAGCACAGAAACCACACAGCCCGTCCGCGGGCCCTTGGCGCCCGGGAAAATTCCTTTCAAACTCGCGGCCAGCCTCCTCGCGGACCCCGCCCACCCTCTACCTCTCTCTCGCCGGCGCGCCTGCAGTACCGCTTGCGATTGGCTACGACCTCTGCCGTGGTTCCGCCCCCTCGTCGCGGGTTTCCGATTGGGGGAGGCTTTGCGCAGCTCCGCCCCTCGGCGGCTCGAGCAACTGGACGCAAGCATGGCGGCTCCCGGGGCCGCAGCTACAGACCTAGGTGCGGTGGCTTTCGGGTGGGACCTACGACGCATGGATTGCGAGCGAGGAGTGCGGGCTTGGGGACTGTGGTGTGCCGGCGGTCCCGCGGACTGGGGGGCGGGGGTCGTTGCAGACGGGATCCCTTCAGACGGGCGCGGGCCCCTGGCACAGGGATCCCTATGAAGGCGGGCGGAGAGCCTCTGAGTGAGTGAGGGTTGCTGGGGCTCGTCCGCGTCAGGTGTGGGGCGGGCACCCAGGCCCACTTCCAGCGCCTCAAGTCGGTACCTCCGTGCCCCCAGAGGTGGTCCGAGGCAAGCGGGCCGCTCTCTTCTTCGCTGCTGTGGCCATCGTGCTCGGGTTGCCGCTCTGGTGGAAGACGACGGAGACCTACCGGGCCCCGTTGCCTTACTCCGAGATCAGTGGGCTGGACGCCCTGCAGGTGAGACCTCAGTGGGAGAAGGCCTAGGGACAGCCCACTGGCAAGGTGGAGACTCAGCCGATGGCCCTGATGCTCCTTCCTCTAGCTGCGGCTCATGGTGCCCGTCACTGTCGTGTTTACCCGAGAGTCAGTGCCGTTGGACGACCAGGAGAAGCTGCCCTTCACCGTTGTGCATGAGAGAGAGATCCCTCTGAAATGTGAGTTCCCGGGGAGTCAAGGCTGCCTGTCTGGTCTGAGCTCAGTCCAGAGATGGGTTAGGTTGGAGGAGCGTGGGTGTCCCTTAAAGGTAGTTAAACATTTCTTAAAAGCCCTCTCTGAATGAACAGTGTGGTTGGTTAGAAGAAAAGCAACTTTAAATACAGTGTTCAGTGTTAGGGCGGCAATTTCATTCATAAAACATCTAGGTTACCTGATGAGAAGCGATTGATGCTCATTGGAAGATAGGAGAGGAGGTGCGTTGGAGTAGAAAGAACGCAGGGTTTGGAATCAAGTTGGGAGTTGTGTACAGCCCTTACTCACTTTGACATGGAACACTTTGCTGAGTGTTAGGCACTTTGCAGTACCAGGAATTTGGGGGTAAATAAGGAATTGATTGATAATGGTTTCGAGAAATTCCAAGTCCAGTCGGGGAGAAAGACACTTAGAGAAAGAAATCACAGTGGGTTATGTAAGAAACAGAGACGGCATGTAAGAAAGAGCCTTTAACTGCCTGGGAGGAAAGAAAGGCCGAGAAGGTTTTGAGGATGCCATTTTTAAGTCAGATTTTTAAAGGATGTGATGGAATTCAGGGTAAACAGGGAAGGAGGAAGGGAACCGCTGGAGCCAGATATAGCAATGGGTAATGTTAGTTGTTCATCATATGCCATAAACTAGGTGTAGCACTTTCCATGTGTTGCCTCATTGAATCCTCTCTAACATTATGATCTCCATTCTATAAATGAAAACAACAACAACAGAGTTAGAGATTTTAAATTGTTCATGACCACCCAGCTAGTTAGTAAGAGGTGGCGCTGTATTTAAATCCAGTCCTGACTGGGGCGCCTGGGTGGCTTAGTCGGTTAAGCGTCCGACTTTCGCTTAGGTCATGATCTCATGGTTCGTGGGTTCGAGCCCCGCGTCGGGCTCTGTGCTGACTGCCAGCTCAGAGCCTGGAGCCTGTTTCAGAGTCTGTGACTCCCTCTCTCTCTGACCCTCCCCTGCTCACGCTGTCTCTCTCTCTCCTAGAAATAAATAAAACATTTAAAAAAAAAGTAATAAAATAAATCCAGTCCTGACTGATTCCAGAGTTCTGGCTTTTTCTTTAAAAAAAATTTTTTTTTAACGTTTATTTATTTTTGAGAGACAGAGAGAGACAGCCTGAGCAGGGGAGAGGCAGAGAGAGAGGGTCCAGAGTTCTGGCTTTTAACCAACAACCTATACGGCCGCCTGTGCAGAAGCAGGGACGGGTGAATCAGCATGTTGGGGGATCTGCGCGCAGTTTTACTCTTCTGGAATGTGAGGTGAAAGATTCTGAGCGACTGGATGTGTAGGCTGAGCCCAGACCGTGAAGTGCCTGTGTGCCATTTACTTCCTAGCCTTTGAACCTTGGTCCCACGTGTTTCTTAAAAAATCCTATTTCATAGGGCTCAGCCTAATGTGAACACGCATACTTTTTGTTTCTCAACACTAGGATTGGATCACACCTCCCGTGTTAGTTTGCAGCTTTGATTGTTGTCAGTTTGTCATGGACTTACTCGTATTTAGTGACATGGTATTCAATAATATGGACATATTGTGGAGGTAGTGGAGTGGAGTGGCCAAGAGTTTGGAATTTGGCGTAAGAGAGCTGGATTAAAGCCTTGGTTCTGCCACTTATGTGTGCGAATTTGGGTGAGGTTGTTAACCTCTCTGCATCTTGGTTTTCTTGTCTGTCAATAGGAATAGTAATAAGTTGGCTCATTTATTCAACCAATATATTTTTTAATTAAAAAATTGTTTTTAATGTTTTTTTATTTTTGAGAGAGAGAGAGAGCATGAGCAGAGGAGGGGCAGAGAGAGAGGGAGACACAGAACTCCAGGCAGGCTCCAGGCTCTGAGCTGTCAGCACAGAGCCCACCGTGGGGCTTAAACTCACAGAGCTCGGGATCATGACCTGAGCCGAAGTCAGAGGCTTAACCAACTGAGCCACCCAGGTGCTCCTCAACCAATATTTTTTATTGAGTGCCAGTATCAGACACTGTTGTATTTGCTAGAGATACAGCAAACAAAATAGACAAAATACATTGAACAAAATAGACTAAAAAAAAAGAAGAGGAGAACAGACAGGAAGATAAACACATGTATGTCACATGGTGGGGGTGCACCTGGCTGGCTCAGTCAGTGGAGTCTGCAACTCCTGATCTCGGGGTTGTGGGTTCAAGCCCCACATTGGGTATAGAGATTAATTAAAAAAATAAAATCTTTAATAAATAAATAAATATATGTATGTATGTATGTTAGAAGGTGACAGGAGAAAAATAGTTCAGGCCAGGGGGATAGGGAGGTTTTCTTGGGGAATAAGGAGGTCATTGCCATTTTAGAGACAGCAGGCGGCTAGGGACAGCATCATTTGAAAACAGGACTTTCGAGTAAAGACGCAAAGGGGTAAAGCAGTAAACTGTGTAGATACCTGGGAGAAGAGCATTTCTGGCAGAGGAAGAAGCAAGTATAGGGTCCTGGGGTAGGAGCAGAAGTGCCTTTGCTGAACAGTGAGAATCCCATTGTGGGGAGAGTGAGGTGAATGAAGGAAAGAGTAAGAGGAAATGACGTGAAACCAGAGCAGTGGACAGGGGGCGAGGCTCACATACAGCTTTTATTCTAGATGAGAAGGAAGCCCTTGAAAGATTTTTTTTTGTTTTTAAACTACCGTATCACACCTAACCAAGTCCATGGTAATTCCTTAATATCACCTAATTTCTAGTCTATATTCAGATTTCCCCAGTTATCTCAAAGGTGTCCTCTTGATTTTTGTTTGTTTGAGAGAGAGAGAGCGTGAGTGTGAGTGGGGGAGGGTCAGAGAGAGAGAGGGAGAGAGAATCCCAAGCAGGCTCCACACCATCAGTGCGGAGCCTGATGCAGGGCTTGATCCCATGAACCGTTGAGATCATGACCTGAGTCGAAACCAAGAGTCAGACGCTTAACTGACTGAGGCCCCCAGGTGCCCCAATACATTTTTATTTAAGTAATTTTACATGTGGGTCCTTCCACTGCTGCAGCTGATGACTACAGTTCCCTCCAAAGCCAGAATCATAATCTTCGAAATAACCCTTTTCTTTCTTTCTTTATTATTTTTTAAAGTTTATTTTTACTTACTTTGAGAAAGATACAGAGAGCAAGCGGGGAAAGGGCAGAGAGAGGACACAGAATCCCAAGCAGGCTCCATGCCATCAGCACAGAGCCCGATGTGGGGGCTCAAACATGCCAACTGTGAGATCATGACCTGAGCTGAAATCAAGAGTCGGACGCTTAACTGACTGAGCCACCCAGGCGCCCCCAAAATAATCCTTTTAAAAAGAACTTTCGTTTAACCCACAGTTGTCACTGTCAGTCAGTCTGGTTCAGTGGAGATCAAAGAAGCCCCCCCAACCCCATCGCGATATACTTCTTTTCTTGATTTGTTGGAGAAACCAGACCACTTGTTTTATAGAACCTCTCCCATTCTGGATTTGGCAGATTGCTTCCTCCTAGTTTCATTCCTCTATTATCCATATTTCTTGTAAACTGGTGGTCAGATTGGGAGATTTGATCAAAAACCGTTCACTTTTTAAGGTAAAAATACTTCGTAATTAGTGTGGTATGCTTCATGTCGTGTTATATCAGGAAGCATAGAATGGCTGGGGTTTTTTTTCACTTTAGGTGATACAAAGATAATTTTATTTACTTTTTTAAGATTTTATTTTTAAATAGTCTGTGCACCCAACATAGGGCTCAAACTCACAACCCCGAGATCAAGAGTCTCATGCTCTATCAACTGAGCCAGCCAGGCATCCCAAAATGGCAAATTTTAAATTCTGTAATTGCTCCTATATATATATGACTTGGAATTCTTCTATAACAAAGAACTTTCACAAGAAGTTGTAGGTTCAACTTCTCAGGTTCCACGGGGCAAAAAAATCCCTATGGGATTGCCTTGTGGGTACAGAATGACTTGAGGGGAATTGACCTCCTTAGAATATTTAGTCTTTCCATCGAAGAACTTTTTCCAATTTCATTCAGATCTTCTTTTAAGTCCTTCAGTACAGTCCTGGGAGTTTTTCTTAGAGTTTTGTACATTTCTTCCTGGGTATTTGTATGTTCTTTATTATGATGAGGATTGGCATTAAAAAAAACTTGCTTCTCATATTGGATGTTGCTGGTATTTCTCAGAAAGCTATTGATTCTTGTGTGTATCTAGTCATAGGACCGAATTGTCACCAGTTCTAATAGTTTTTTTCAGTTGGTTTTCTTTGATTTTCTGGGAAAATAATTACACTATTTCAAAAAGTGGCCATTTTGTTCTTTCTTTCAAATATTCATGTTTCATGTCTCTTTCTTCACTTACTGCATTGAAAGTCAGGAACTTCAGAAAGAACAATGCTGAATAATAGAGGAAGTAGCCGGCATCTTCATTTTATGAATAATTTTAATGGAACTACTTTAGTGTTTGTCATTAAGGGTGCATCTTTATCAAGAATGTTCATTGGGGCACCTGAGTGGTTAGGCGTGAGATTCTTGATTTGGGCTCAGGTCATGATCTCACAGTTTGTGAGATCAGGCCCTGCATTGAGTACCACATTAGGCTCTGTCCTGCCATCATGAAGACTGCTTGAGATTCCCTCTCTCTGTCTCTCTGTCTCTCTCTGTCTCTCTCTGTCTCTCTGCCCTGCCCTGCCCTTGCTTATGTGCATGCATGCACGGTTGTACGTTCACTCTCTATCTGAAAAAAATTTGAATTGATTACCTTATTTTGAGGCACCTGTTGAAGTGATCATATGGTTTGGGTCCTTTCACCTACTAATTAAATCCAATGATTTAATATCATTAGAATTGGCTGTAGCCTCTTGGACTTTCTCTGCAAACAATATTCTTGATGTCCTGAGACACTGGACAGTGTTAGGGCTGGAAACGTGGGCAGAGGTCTGTATTTAGTCTTCTTATCTTTTTTTTTTTTTTAAATTTTTAAATGTTTATTTCATCTTGAGAGAGACAGAGAGTGCGTGGCCGGAGGGGGGGGGGGTGCAGAGAGAGAGGGAGACACAGATCCGAAGCAGGCTCCAGGCTCTGAGCTGTCAGCACAGAGCCCCACGTGGGGCTCGAACTCATGAACCGTGAGATCATGACCTGAGCCGAAGTTGGACGCTTAACGAGCTGAGCCACCCAGGTACCCCTTAGTCTTCTCATCTTCTTCCTTTTCCTCTCAGACAAAATGAAAATCAAGTGTCGTTTCCAGAAGGCCTATCGGAGGGCCGTGGACCATGAGGAAGAGGCCCTGTCACTGGGCAGTATGCAAGGTACCGGAAGGAGCGATCATACTAGTTTCACACGAAGCCCTCTGTTTTCTTCTGATCTCTAAGTGTGTAGTTTCCGTACCGTGTCCTAACTTCAGAATCTCCCTGGGAAGGCTGGGAATGAGATCTTGTGTGTTTCAGCTGGGCCACTGGGGGCCAGCCCTGACCATAATGTCAGCCAGGTGTGAGTGGGAGGTGGAGCTGGGCTGAGGCACTGTGTGGGGGCCAGAGGGATAGGGCGAGGTGGTTTTGCCCCTGGTGCACCTTCTGCTCTTGTCCCCAGAGGCAGAAGCCATGTTAGCTGAGCCACAGGAGCAAGCAGAGGGCTCCCTCACTGTGTACGTGATCCCTGAACACTCCTCACTTCTGCCCCAGGTAGGGTGAGCAGGGAGGCTACGGCCTTGCCTTATCCCGCCCCCTTGTCCTCTCCTGGGTCACCTCCTTCCTGCTGTAGCTCCGCCCGTTTCTTGCGTTTGCTACAGAAAACTCTTTTCCAAATATTTTTTTAAAAGCATGCAAACGAATTGTTTTCATTGACTCTAGGTCTTTCTGATTCCAAGAGTTCTGTATGGTTAAAGCTCCAATGACCATTTAAAGTGGAAAAAAATCAGGATTAAAAAAAAAAGAAGCTTGGTTTGAATGGATCATGGTGGTAAAATGGGCGACACATCGGCCTTTTCACTCTATGAGCAAGAGGCTCAGTGGGAGCTATGCCATGTACTGTTTTCTTTTAAAATTTATGATGAAGTGTTTTAATTAATTAATTTATTTTAGACCACATGAGTGGGTGAGAGGGGCAAAGGGGGAGAGGCAGAGAGAGAGGGAAACGGAGAGGGAGGGAGGGAGGGAGGGAGAGAGAGAGAGAGAGAGAGAGAGAAAGAAAATCTCCAGCAGGCACCATGGGGCTCGATCCCACAATCCTTGGATCATGACCTGGGCCAAAATTAAGAGTTAGACACTCAGCCGACTGAGACATCCAGGTGCCCATGAAATATTTAAGTCTTATCAAAAGATGAAGGAAAAATTTTAATGAACCCACCCTTAGCTTGCAAACTACAGTCTAGTAATGGCTGAGCCCCGTGTATTTCCATGGTGATACCCCCCTCCCTCTCGGTCCAGGTTGACCAACCATATTTTGTGTGTCATTTTCTTACTTTTCTTTCAAGTTTTATCACATATATTATATCTCTGTGAACAATGTATTTTATAAACGTTTGAGCTTTATAACAACACAGCACATGTTGCACATGTTCTTCTGTAACTTTTGTTTCATTCAACATTTGTGTTTGAGAGAATCATCCATGATGATCAAGGTGTAGTAGAATCTAATGTGTTCTTTTTTAAGATGTTTCATTGTATAAACACATCACAGTTTACCCATTCTGTTGCTGATGGGCATTTGGATTGTCTCCAGTGTTGGACTCTTAGAAGTAACGCTGCCGTGGGGCACCGGGGGGGGGCTCAGTTGGTTAAGCCTCCGACTCTTGATTACGGCTCAGGTCATGATCTTGCGGTTTGTGAGTTCGAGCCCCACACTGGGCTCCGTGCTGACAGCATGGACCCTGCTTGGGATTCTCTCTCTTCCTCTCTCTCCCTCTCTCTCTCTGCCCCTCCCCTGCCTGCTTTCCATCTCTCTCTCTCAAAATAAATAAAAATAAACTTCAAAAAAGAAGAAAGGAAATAATGCTGCTAGGAACATTTCTGTCCTTGCCTTGTCGCCTGGTGCCCTTTATTCATATCGAACTTTCCAGGTGTTTGTTTCTTCTGCTTTCCTTGTTCCGCATGCCATCTCCTAGTTTTCCAGCTTGTGAAGATTTAGCTAATGCCTGGATGTAAGTCTGCAGGAAAGGCAAAGGTCACAGAAATGAATGAAAACAGTCATGCATACGGATTGGCCAGAGATGCTGAGATAGTAGTTCACTGTGAATCCAAAGGGAGCAGTCGGCTTGTTGGTCAGTGGCACCAAGCCAGATTCTCAAGAGACAGGAGCCAGCGCGCTCTTCTGCTTTCTTCCCTGAGCCATGGGCATCCTGTCCCTTGCTGGCCTCTCTCGCAGGACATGATGAGTTACATTGGGCCCCAGAGGACAGCAGTCGTGCGAGGGATAACGCACCGCGAGGCCTTTAGCATCGTCGGCCGTCGGGTAATCCAAGTAGCACAGGCCATGTCTTTGACTGAGGATGTGCTTGCCGCGGCCCTGGCTGACCACCTTCCAGAGGACAAGTGGAGCTCTGATAAGAGGCGGCCTCTCAAGTCCAGCTTGGGTAGGGTGATGGGGCTTTGTCGTGAGAAGGGAGAGGGAAATGAATGGCGTGGGGGTGTTGGGGCAGGAGGGGAATCTGCATGCAGACTCTTTACTCCTTTCTTCTGTGGTTTCACCTCTTAGTTGAAGCACTCACTGTTCCTCACCCCAGTTTTGTCCTCCCTTGGGTTCCACGATGGCCACCAGCCCCACCCTAGGGGAGAAACAAGTCCAGCTCAGCCAGGGGTATGGCTGCCCTTGAGCCACTTAGAAGCCCCTGCCTTCCCTGACCCCTGTTTCTACAGGCTATGAGATCACCTTCAGTTTACTCAACCCAGACCCCAAGTCCCACGACGTCCACTGGGACATCGAGGGGGCCGTCCGGCGCTACGTGCAGCCCTTCCTGAGTGCCCTCAGCGCTGCCGGCAACTTCTCTGTGGACTCTCAGGTGAGACAGGGAGGAAGCTTGAGGGGTCCTTTTCCTTTTCAAAGTCCATCCATATTTACTCTTTCCACGCGTAGCCTATTCTTCCAGCTCTTCAAGCTTGCTGATTTGCTAGGAGTTCCCTGAGTGTATATGTGCTTCTCGTGTCTCCTTTCCCTCTGCTGTGTCCAGCTCAGGGACTTCGGTTGACATTTGTTTAAAAAACGACCTTCCTTATGGCTCCTTCCAGAACTGCATTCACCCATGCTTAAGGAATTTATTTAAAAAAAAAAAAAAACAAAAAAGAACTGGGGCGCCTGGGTGGCTTAGTCGGTTAAGCGTCTGACTTTCGCTTAGGTCATGATCTCGCGGTTCGTGGGTTCGAGCCCCGCGTCGGGCTCTGTGCTGACTGCCAGCTCAGAGCCTGGAGCCTATTTCAGTCTGTGACTCCGTCTCTCTCTGACCCTCCCCTGCTCACGCTCTCTCTCTCTCCTAGAAATAAATAAAACATTTAAAAAAATTTAAAAAAAAAAAAAACTTCCTGAAATATGTTAGTGCAGTAACAGTAAAGACGTGAAGAATGTAGCTTTCTGTATCACACATTGTCCTTTTTTTTTTTTTTTTAATGTTTTATTTATTTCTAGGAGAGAGAGAGAGACAGCGTGAGCAGGGGAGGGTCAGAGAAAGAGGGAGTCACAGACTGAAACAGGCTCCAGGCTCCGAGCTGGCAGTCAGCACAGAGCCCGACGCGGGGCTCGAACCCACGAACCGCGAGATCATGACCTAAGCGAAAGTCGGACGCTTAACCGACTAAGCCACCCAGGCGCCCCTCACATTGTCCTTTTAGGGAAGATGTACGAGAAATTTTTATCAGGTCTTGGTCAGTGGGAGTACTTCTGAATAACTGACTTGAGTTGAGCTTGCAGACACTGAGTTATGCTACTCTTGTTTCCCCTCCCTGTTTAGGCTCTTAGAAAGCCTGGTTAAAAAAAAAAAAAAATGTGGTTTTCATAGCCCAGGTTTAGTGTATTAATTTTACCTCTTGGCTTTATTTTTTTTTTTCTTACACCTGTTTCTCTCAGCCCTGATTTTGTTCCTTCTATTTTGTCCTGTCCTAACTGTATCTTTTTGAAGGCACTTCCAAACTTTTGGGACAGAGTGGAGTACAAATCAGTCAACAATGTAATGTCCTCCTTCTTTGCTTTACAGATTCTTTACTATGCAGTGTTGGGGGTAAACCCTCGCTTCGACCCAGCTTCCTCTAGCTACTACTTGGCCACGCACAGCCTCCCCCATGTCATCAATCCAGTGGAGTCCCGGCTGGGTGAGCTGGGGATGAGGGTCTGTTTGCCAGGCTGCGGAGGGACCCTGAAGCCTCAGTGTGGGGTTGGAGGCTGGCGGTATATGGTTATGGTTCCCAGGTTGGGTGGGGCTGAGGGTATGAAGGAAGTGCGGGGCATTTAGGCTTCCTCCCAACCCCACACTATCATATCCAAAAACGTGTGTTAAACGTGACTCCCACTGCTTTTTATAAACGAAAGGATAGGCTGTGCCTCCCTCTTTGCAAGGCAGCCAGGAAAAATATGGTGACACGTGTAGGAAGGATAATGGCAGAGGTACACAAAGGCAGGCTCTGGATTGATGGTTCTGAGTCAGGTTTGAAATCGGGGTTCCAGTCTTTCGTTTCGGGAGTGGTACCCAGGAAGAGTAAGCGACCTCAAAGTATCATACAGACAAGCCAAAGTCAGTGCGTCACTGGTTGTGGGGTTTCAGGCACCAGGGCTGGGCCAGTGTGGACCAGGGTACGGGAGGGGCTGCGCGTGATTCCTCCCTCGTTCCCTCTACCAGTGCTGAGTGCGGAGATGGAAGGGCATTCTGGACAAGGGAGCTCTGAGCTTAGATGCCGAAGAGTAAAACGGATAGGCATTCAGGAAGCTCCGAGAAGTTTAATGTCGCTGAACTGTGTGAGGGAGGGACTAGGACGAAGCTGGCAGGGCAGGTAGGCACTACATTATAAGGCCTAGGTTCAGTGGCTTGAACTTCTACCTAGCGTGACTGGCTAGTTTTTGAAGGATAGTAAGAGGGAGCCGACATGAAGTCATATGCATACCTGTGTGTAAAATGGGTTGTAGTTTAAGAAACTATTTAAGAAAAAAAAAAATGGGTTGTAGTTCTATGGGTGCGATGTGGCAGTGCCCAAGAACGGTCTGGGCCAGACGACAGGGCCACGGACTCTGCTTCATGTATGTGGCACATCTTGGGAGAATGCTCAGAGGTTTTGATCGCAGAAACCCAGGACTGGAGGGTACTCTGGTGACTCACTCGGGGGAATGGGGCCCAGAGTGAGTGACCAGCAGGTTAGAGGCTGACCTGCAATGAAGACCCAGCTCCAGCGTGTTTTGGTGTTCTGACTTCCCTTCTCTTCGTACCGTAGGATCCAGCGCCGCCTCCCTTTACCCTGTGCTCAACTTTCTGCTCTACGTGCCTGAGCTTGCCCACTCCCCACTGTACATTCAGGACAAGGACGGGGCTCCCGTGGCCACCAACGCCTTCCACAGTCCCCGCTGGGGTGGCATTATGGTAACGGTCACACTCTGCAGCCCCCAAAGCCCCAGATTTAGGACAGACGGATGTTCCCTGAGACTGTTCCTTCTGTCGTGCCTCTAGTGTCCTCCGTGGCGCAGCCCGTGGAGGGGCCGCAGCAAGGAGGTGAGGCTGCTGTGAGCTTGTGGCCCTCCTCCGCCGGCCCCACAGCTTCGTATTTCTGTCAGTGTTTTCTATAATGTGACCCTTTGGCATGCAGCGGTCTGCACTCACTGAGGACTTTTCTGTGTGTCCATCTTAGATCTTGGCCCTTTTAATGGGAGTCTTGCAAGACTGACAACTTCTCCTGTTAGACTGGGAGTTTCTCATAGGTAGGAACTCTTACACTGGAATGAATGTTTTTTACAGGTCTTCTGAGGGGATAATGGAGATAATTTATGAAAAGCTCCTAATAGCATGTGTTCCAGAATTAGTAGCTATGCCATCAGGTCTGTAATTTCTAAAGAGCACAGACTGTGTCTTCCTTTTCTCTCATGGCCTTCAGGCCACATTCTTCCATGGTTCTTCTAGGCCACGTTCACGGCTCTGGCGTGGTGCTGAGGCAGCCTTGTTTCCCCTCGCAGGTGTACAACGTGGACCCCAAAGCCTACAATGCCTCGAAGCTGCCGGTGAGGGTTGAAGTGGATATGGTGCGGGTGATGGAGGTGTTCCTGGCTCAGTTGCGGTGAGTTCCTGGCTGATCTACCTGGGGGCGTGGCCGCTGACTCTGACCCCAGTCTCCGGAGCTGACCAGAATGGACTCTCACCTGGCAGGGATAGCCTTGGCTGGGCCTAGAGCCCCAGAGAAACCAAGAGACGTTTCTAAGGGTCATTTTATCCTTCTCGTAGGAAGGACTAGTTGCTGACAAAAACCGTTTTAAGAAAAACGGGCTCCTGGGACACCTCGGTGGCTCAGTCGGTTAAGTGTCTGACTCTTGTTTTCGGTTCAGGTCATGGTCTTGGTTCATGGGATCTAGCCCTGTGTCGGGCTCTGTGCTAATAACAGCATGGAGCCTGCTTGGGATTCTCTCTCTCCCCCTCGCTCTGCCCCTCCCCCATGTGTGTCCTCTTTCTCTCTCAAAGTAGAAAAATAAACTTAGAAAAAAGAAAGGCAGACTCTTGAATGTCAGGTCCATAGGGTGTAATTCAGGGTACTTAAGAAAACAGCTGTTAGTTCTCGTGGTAACTGATAGGCTGATAGTGGCTGCCAGATGCCCTTGGCTGAGGATTCTAAGGCTGTATCTGGGATCATCGGGAAAGAGGATTCTGGTTGATTAGCAGTGTCTGCCCTGGGTGCAGGATTGGAGAGGGACACACAGCCTTCTCAGAAGCGGTCCTGGATCATCCCTTAACTAAAGGCTCAGTGGTCCCGTTTGTCCAAAGAGAGGGTAGACAGGGTGAGGGGGTTAAACTGGGTTGGTGTCATCTGAAATATTGTAGCCTTTTTTCAAACAAGATCTTGGAAATCGAATCCAGAAACAGGTGAAAGCAAAAACACAGGTTTTAAAAGGGGGCTTGCGGCTCTAATTGCTGAGTGTTGCCGCTCACTCCTTGAGACCCTGAGGCACTTCCTGCGGCTCCCGTGGTTCTGGGTAAGATGGAAAATCGTAGTCACCATTCGAGGAAGCGTAGCCACCTTCTCCTCTCGGTCCCTTTGACCTTACTTTCCTCTTCCTACAGGCTGCTCTTTGGGATTGCTCAGCCCCAGTTGCCTCTGAAATGCCTGTTTTCAGGGCCTAAGAGTGAAGGGCTAACGACCTGGGAGCTTGACCGGCTGCTCTGGGCTCGGTCAGTGGAGAACCTGGCCACCGCCACCACCACTCTCACTTCCCTGGCCCAGCTTCTGGGCAAGATCAGCAACATTGTCATCAAGGACGACGTGGCATCTGAGGTGAGCGGGCGCGGGATGGATTCTGTGGTGTAACTGGAGGACCAGCGAGGACCAGGGTGGGGTGAAGCCAGAGAGCCAGGTGAGGTCCAGTGTGTGTGGGCATCCCATCCTCCAGTGCCCCTGGCTTCCTCTAGAGGGCAGTGCTGGCCCCCCAGCAAGCCTCCAGATGGGGTGTGAGATTTGAAGCAGGCGCTAAGAAAATATACCATAGCCCTTTTATTACCGCTCTCCATATCCTGGGCCAACTCCAGGCAACCTGCCTGGTAGATGGAAGACACAGTAAGGCCCATCCTTCCTCCCACCCCAACACCTTACTGATGCCTGGGACTTAACGGTAATCCCCTGCCCCCTTCCTAGGTGTACAGGGCTGTAGCTGCAGTCCAGAAGGCGGCAGAAGAGTTGGCCTCTGGGCACCTGGCCTCTGCCTTCACCGCAAGCCAGGAGGCTGTGACGTCCTCGGAGCGTGCCTTTTTTGATCCCTCGCTCCTCCACCTCCTCTATTTCCCTGACGACCAGAAGTTTGCCATCTACATCCCGCTCTTCCTGCCTATGGCTGTGCCCATCCTCCTGTCCCTGGTCAAGATCTTTCTGGAAACCCGCAAGTCCTGGAAAAAGCCTGAGAAGATAGACTGAGCAGGACAGTGTCGCAGTAGGAAAGCTTCCTTTCTGGCCACCGTGGGAGGTGTTAGATTGAGAGGCACATAAATGGGGCCTGCCACGAAGGACTTGGCTCCAGTAACCAAAGTGTAAACACTCCAAGCAGGGTTATCTTTTCTTCCCTTCCCATTCCTCTGGCTCAGGCTCTCCCCACCCTTTGTGCCCTCTACCTCCCTCCAGAAGACACATCATTGGGGCCTGGTTATCTGGCTTGAACTTGAAGGCCCTTTCCTGTCTCCCCCTGTGCTTCTGTCCTGTTCCTTGAAGTCCTCCTGCACTCACGGGGAGCATTAGGGGAAAGCCCTGGGTTGGATTCTAGCCTCCGCTCCTCCATGCTTCTCTCTAGCCCCTCAGGGGCTAGCACTGCTCTCATGGAAGGAGCCAGGTCACCTCTGGGGCCTTCTTTTTCCTTCCCTCCTGGCTGGCTGTGCCGATGGAGGGAAGCCTGATGCTATGCGTGTGGCCGAATTTCCCTTCACTCTCTTACAGAGGTGGCTTGGTGCAGCGGGAACGTTCCAGATTGGGATCAAGCATGCCTGAATTCCTTCTGCCCTTATCATCTGGGGAGCATTGAATAAGCCACTTAATCTCCCTGAGCCTCAGTTTTTCATTTGTTAAAATAGCACTAATGATAGCTTGCTTACAAGGTGGTTATGAGGATTAAGTGTGATAAGCATATGAAAGCGTCTGGCATATTTTAGGCCCTCAATAAACATTGGTTGAATGTGAATTGGAATGATACAAAGTATGAGCATAATCTTTCATCCTTCCTTTGTGTCTAAGTCATGGTTTCCTAGTAGCTGTTTTCCTGGGCTCACAGGTCCACCTTACTTTCACCTGACCTTGGCCCCTTCCTCCCTTCCTGCCGTGGAGGGCCCTGTGGTGGCTGGATGCCTGGGCTGTTGTCCCTCAGCATGTCCAGGGTTGCCCAGCAAAGCTATTAGTATCTCCTTCTGCTTTTTTTCCGCAGGGGGTCTGGGAGAGAAGAGTATGCACCAGTGTAAGCCCTTAGATACAAACTCATTCATAAATTCAGAAAAAGAATATATTAAGCATGGACTGCAACAGCCACTGTGCTAAGTGCTAGGTATTATAATGAACAGAAGACAGGATCTCTGCTTTCATGGAAGTGATCTTTCAGGGGGAAGAGTCCGTGAACAAGTAAAACTAATCTCAGACAATGCATTAGAAGGAAAAAACCGGCTGATCCGAGAGTGACGGGGGCGGGGGGGGGTGCCTTTAGTTTGGGGGTGAGGGAGAGCCTTTGAGCAGATGACATTTGAACTGAGACCAGAAGAGGAGGCCATCTGGGGGAAGAGCATCCCAGGCAAAGACCCTGAGTCAGAACTCCCACGAGGGGCAGACGGAAGGGCCCAGTGGCTGGAGCGCCCCGAGTTAGGAGGAGAGGTAGTCGACCCTTTAAAGTACGCATCCAAAAAAAAAAAAAAATGAATGAAGCCCTAGGCGAGGCCCCACCCAGTCCCGGGGGAGTAGACCCAGGTTGGCGCGCCCGCAGCCTTTCGGCAGGGGTGGGAGGGGCGAGCGTCTGGCCCACCCCCGGGGGCGGGGCGGTACCTGGGCCCCCGGCCGGGGGCGGGGCTGCGGACGCTCCCCCTTCTCTTCGCTCCAGCCGGCGCAGGCAGCCGCCGCAGCAGCAGGCGAGCGGCGGCCCTGCGAGGCCATGAAGGTGAAGAAGGGCGGCGGCGGGGCTGGGACGGGGGCGGAGTCCGCTCCAGGGGCCTCGGGCCAGAGCGTGGAGCCCAAGCCCGAGCCGCAGCTGCAGGCGGAATCCGAGTCCGGGTCCGAGTCGGAGCCGGAGGCTGGCCCGGGGCCCAGGCCGGGGCCGCTGCAGAGGAAGCAGCCGATCGGGCCGGAGGACGTGCTGGGGCTGCAGCGGATCACGGGTGGTGAGCACCGGCGAGGCAGCGCCACCCGCGGCGGGAGGGCGGGAGGGAGTGCGGGAGGGAGCCCTCGCCGAGCCCGGGCCCCCGCCCCCTTTCCCGCCCTCCCCCCCGCCTCCCCTCCCCCACTCGGGTCCCCCTCGCCTGAGTCCCCTACCCGTCTGCCTCTGAGCCTGAGATCTCCATGTCCCCTCTTTTCCCTTGATCTCCTTGTGCCCGCCTCTTCTCCCTTTAGACATTTATTTTCACCCTACTCCTTCCTTTCTGAGCAGGCCGTCCCGCTTTCCAAGGTGGAGGTGGGGCAGCAGCGGCAACTGTGACCCCTTCCCCGTGGAGCTTCAGAGCCCTTTGAGGCTTTTTTCTGCAGTAATGAAGATGGGGGTGTTGAGTGTGGTCTTCTGTCCTCCGCCCCCACCCTGGAGGCTAGATGGACGCTGAGCTACTGCTTCGGTCACATTAAGACCCTCGGGTCTCCCCGATCCCCCGAGAAGTCTGGGGCCATCCTCCAACCCCAGGAAAGGACCTGGGCAGGAAGCTTCAGTGGGTTGGCTCTGGCCCTCTCAAGGGAGTGAGTTAATACCCCCCTTAGCCTGTCTTTCCGGAGGCCCTGTCTCCGCTGTGGTTGAATTTCTGGGCTGGACTGCCTGGGTTGAAGCCCCAGCTGTGCCAGGTGGTTGACTGTGTGACCTTGGGCAAGTAACTTCGTCTCTCTGAGCACGTTCATCTATAAAATGGGGACAATGGCACCTACTTTATAGGGCTGTTGGGAAAATTAATTTTCTGATTTTGCACAGTGCCTGGCATGCTGTGCATGCTCTAGTAAATAGGGCTCTTTTATCCACAGTACTGAGGGCCCCACAGGACTGCTCCTGGCTGCTGCCTAGAGGCAGACAACTGAGCATTCAGGGCAGAGGAGCAGGTTACCATAGGCAGGGAACAAGGGCTAGGAAGCCTCATGGCAGGGGCGGTGGCTGAGCCTCAAAGAACAGATGGCATTTGGAGAGAGAGTGGCCCTCTTCCCTCCCTTTCTTTGTTTATCAGTAATCCTGCCCCAGCTCCCTCTGTGAGAGCAACCTTAGGGACCCCCTCTGTGCCAGTGGGGGGCAGGCGCTGGAGCGGACCTGAGCCCTGGAGTTGCAGGAGCCGCAGAGCCCAAGGCTGCCAGACAGAGCCGTGGAGGGGACCATAATGGCAGGTCTAGGCCTGTGCATCTGGGTCCCTGGGGGACCAGCTTCTCTCTTCTCTCTGAGCCAGGCAGCAACCATTCTTGGCTGGGCCCCCAGAGTGCCGAGCTGCCTTGCCTAAGCAGACACGAGTAGAGGGAGGGGGCCTGGACCCATCCGATGTTAGTGCCAGTTGAGCTGTAACTGGCAACAGCAGGTTTAGAATTGAGGGTGGCTCTGGGGCAGAACTTCCTTATAGGATGTTTGGAGGTCAAGTTGACCTGTCTGGGTCCTAGGCAACTTTAGAGGTTATTTTGCACCTGTGGGGGCTTCCAGCGGGCGTACGGCCATGTGTCTCCTATTTTGGAGAAAGTTCATAGCCCTTAGAGACGGGGCACCTGTGGGGGATGGGTAGGGGAAAGGGCTTCATGGGAACCCTTTTCTCTATAGAAGTTGAGAACAGGGTTTCAGGGGTCTCCACCCTTTTGACCCTAATCACACAGGTCTGAGGGTTGCTCCTCCTGGATTACCAGCCCTGAATCCAGCTTAGGAAGCTATTTGTGGCAGAGGGAAAGGGGGCAGTTGTGCTCTGAGCCCTCGGCCACTCTGCCCCTTTATCTGGCCTGACCCTGGGTCCCAGGCCTCATCCTTCCCTTGGCAGAAGGGAGGGAGTGGGTGCGGTGTTTTGAGCCACGGGCCTCCCATTTCCGTCACGTCCTCTAAGGACCAAAGGGCTGATGATTCAAGGTGCAGTAGAAGAGACTGAGGAGGGTAGACTGCAAGAACTTATTCCCAAGTGAGAGGAGAGGCTCCGAAAGCAGGAGAATGTGGAGGAGAAGGAAGGGCTTTCCGGGGAGCTGGAGTTGGGCCACTAGGGTCCTGCTCCCAGTTCTGCCACCCCTTCTTGTGCCCTGCACCTTCTTTCCACATCTTGGGACTAGTGCTTACTTTCTGTGAAAATAAAGTGTGTACGGGGTGAGGTGGGCACTGCCCACCTACGTGCCTCCTCCTCTCTCCCCACCCTGGACTCTGGTGGACAGGCCAGGGATCAGGCCCCTCCCCAAGCCCTGCGTAGCTCCTGCTGGACCCCAAGGTGCCAGGAGGCTCCCAGGAGGGCTTCCTGGAGGGGGCTGCCCGAGGCTTGGGGAAGAGAGAAGGACTTTACATTCACTTCCTCTTCCTGCCCCAGAGGACTAGGAGGTGGCCCAGGGGCCTGGAGGGTGATTTCCGGGCCTCTCTGGGGAGGATGTGATGCCGGGCAGGCTGACAGTACCAGACCCACCACTGCTCCTTTCACTTTGCTGCCAGGGCCTCCCTGAGCACTTGTAGTTGCTGCTGCAAGAGAAGTGAGGGTTGCAGGCACTGATATTCCTAAACTTCCTCGGGCAGGGCTCACCACTGTTCCCGGTTCCTCTTCCGGGCCTGAGGACTCCCTTTACTCCCAGGCGCACCCCCAAATGCCCCTGCCACACCCTCTGCCTGGCTTTGCTTGTACTCTTCTCTGTGGGGGTGGCTCAGAGCCAAGGCCGGGTAGATGACCTTTGAGGGGGTTCCCTCTGTTTGCTAAGCCTTCCTCCCATTTGGAGATCAACAGGCGTTGAGAGCAAAGGTGGCCCCCTTTCCCCCAATATTACAGGCTCTGGGCTTGAGTCAGCGGAGCTTTGACTAAGCCGCTTAAGGGAGCTGGGCGTATATAAGCCGCTTATGGGGAGAGGAGGGGACTGGGAGGTGAGGAGGAGCAGGGAAGGGGTCATCTGCCTGCCCTAGCACGACCCAGGTCAGGAGAGTCCTTGCCTGATGCACTTAGACTAGCTCGAGGGGCAGCTATGTGGTGGAGGTGGGGGTGTCCTTCAAAGAGGCACTGTGTATCTCCCAAGGCAAAGCTGTGTCACCCCCTTTAGACTAAGGTTCTCAAAGGCAGGGCTGTACTTTCCCTTCCATGCTGGGGACTCCTTATTTCATCGGAGACCCATCTGGCTCAAAGTCACTGAGTTAGCCCTGGCAGAGCAGAGTCAGAGGCTGGAATAAAGCCCCTTGACTCCAGGATGGGAGGGACTGTGGGGGGACGTGACCTTGTCTTCCACTCACCTTCACCCTGCCCCTCCCTGACCTCAGAGGCTGCTAGGATGGAGCTGTTCGTCTCCCACGAGATCCCAGTGACAGTGCTGTGTATCTCCCACACTCTGGGTGTGCCCCCAGGGCAGGGGCTCAATTCTCGCTTTCCGGAAGGCAGCGAACTAGTCTGGGGTCTCACAAAGGCTGAGCTGGCAGCAGGGGGTTCTGGGCGGGTCCCTCTTTTGCTTAGCCGCCTCTCTTCCCTAGACTACCTATGCTCCCCCGAGGAGAATATCTACAAGATCGACTTCATCAGGTTCAAGATTCGAGACATGGACTCAGGCACTGTCCTCTTTGAAATCAAGAAGCCCCCAGCCTCAGGTGAGTGGGCTGGGTAGGGCATAGACAGAGGGAGGAGGTGGGCAAGGGCTGTGAAGTGGGCTACTGAGGGACTCAGGCCGCAGAGGTGTCAGAATAGAGCTGGGGCTGGGCCTCTGCTTTTCTTTCCCTTTTCTGGGGCTGGACATCTTAGGAGGGCGGTCTGGCCCCTTCAGTCCCTGCCAGCCTGCCCTCTGCTGGCCACCCTGGGAACTGCAGTCCTGTGGCCCTGGGAAACCTCAGTTGAAACTGGCGACCTGCTTGCTGACCTAGAAACCGTTCCCCCCGCCCTACGGAACCATTTGGCCAAAGGTCTAAACCCTAAATGTGCATCAGAATCTCCTGGGGAATTTTTAAGAATTCAGACAGATGTGGCCCCTGGGGTGGAACCCTGGGTGGGCACAGGCCCCCGCCTGAAGCCCACTGAGCCCCAGTTGGGCTACGTTGCAGAGCGGTTGCCCATCAACCGGCGGGATCTGGACCCCAATGCTGGACGCTTTGTCCGCTACCAGTTCACACCTGCCTTCCTCCGCCTGAGGCAGGTGGGAGCCACGTAAGTCAATGGAGGGAGGGGAGAGTTGGGGGGGAGTTGGAGGGGTGGGCAGGGCTGGGGGTGAGGGTAAGGGTGGGAATGAGCCCTTCTTGAATTCTTCCTGAGCCTCTCTTTTGGGGGTGGTGTCTGTCTTGAGCCTTGCTGGCTGACTTCAAAGCCAAGCTCAGCCCCGCCCCCTCCTATCTCTCAGGGTGGAGTTCACAGTGGGAGACAAGCCTGTCAACAACTTCCGCATGATTGAGAGGCACTACTTTCGCAACCAGCTCCTCAAAAGTTTTGACTTCCACTTTGGCTTCTGCATCCCCAGCAGCAAGAACACCTGCGAACACATCTACGACTTCCCCCCTCTCTCTGAGGAGCTGAGTGCGTGGGCAGGGCTTTGGGGGAGGGGCAGGGGGGAGGGCTAGAGAGACCAATGTGGGGGGAGTGTGGGTCGGACCCCCTTTCTCCTTACCCTGGGTCATCTGTGTTTTGGCCGCCATTTCCACACCACCTATGGGGAAACTGAGGCCCAACTAGGCCAGGGGGACTCTGAGGTGGTTCTGAGGTGGTTCGGCCTGTCCCCAGCCTGTCCCACAGTCCTGAAGCCCCTGCAGTGGCCTGGCTCAGGCTTCTGACATTTGCCCCGACGGGCTGGACCTCTCTTGCAGTCCACGAGATGATCCGTCACCCGTACGAAACACAGTCTGACAGCTTCTACTTCGTGGACGATCGGCTGGTAATGCACAACAAAGCAGACTATTCCTACAGCGGAACGCCCTGACCCTGAAACAGCCCCGCGCCCCACGAGGGTCCTGGGCCCCCAACTGTGACCTCCCCAACACTCACCTCTTGACCTGAGGCTTCTGCCTGAGGAGTATTTCAAGAGCCCCGGACCCTGAGTCAGCGATGGGAGGGAGGGTACTTGACGTCCCCAGTCCAAATCTCTGAAACCAGGGGCACATGGGGTGGGGCGGTAGGAGGGCTGTCCGCCTCCATGTCCAGGAAGGCCTCCCGTGAGAAGAGTGGCCAGGACTTCCGGACAGCCTCAATGGGCCTCTTGGGCCCAAGTTTAAGAATAGTGTTCCTACATCTAGGCTTTGGCTTGGTCAGGGCAGGGACCTATTCCCTGTCCTCTGCCCACCTACAGGCCATTTAGAGTTGTAAAATCACAGATGAACATCCAGGGTGGGTGGGGGAGGGTGTCTGGCTGCCCAGCTTCCCAAGGGAGCCCCAACCTTTACCATCACGGGGCTGAGCCACAGCCTGAGGGGTGGGAGGGACGGGCCCGGATTGCGGCCTGTGGTAGGGACTGGACCAACTGTATATAGTTTTCAATAAACTCTCTCCTTTTCTGTTCTTTGGCTGTGGGCCAGCGTGTGCGTGTGTGTGTGTGTGTGTGTGTGTGTGTGTGTGTGTGTGCGCGCGTGTGTGTGGTGGGGGTCGACTTGGGGTGGAGCAATAACGTGACTCCCCATCCCTCCTGTTCCCTAATCCTCTATACCCTGACATCACACTCAGCATCTAGAGTTAGCATTTACTACATGTTGCAGCTGGAAAGCGTTTTTCCTTTGATAAAGATGGAGAGACCCAGGCCCTGAGAGGGGAAGCTCTGGCTCAGAGTCATAGACCACTCTGGCAAAAGGGGAGCTAGCCCTCAACTCTAGCGTGGACAGAAGGCGTGGAGGAGGTGGGCTGGTTCTCCGCCCCTTCTTCCCTCACCCAGAGACCTCTAAGACTACTAGGTTGTGTTTGTAGCCCTCATCAGAGAGACAAGGTGGACACAGTTCGGGCTAAGGTTGGGAGCCATCTCCTTGCCCTTAGCTGCCTTGGGGGCCCTGCATATATAACACTGCCTTTGGCTCCCAGCACTGCCCCAGACCCAGAAGAGCTCTTCATTTCCTTAGTGGAGGAGAACTCAGACAGGGAGAGAGCTCACACCCTACACTTCCCAGGCACTAATTTGGATATGCCAAGTGGCAGCCCTCTCCGGGCTGAGGCTTTAACCTTAACCCACTAAGAAGTCTAGAAGTGCTGGAATTCAACTGGAGGAGTCCTTGTTGGGACCGGGTCCTGGGCTGAACTCTGGAAATTCCTTTTTTTTTTTTAAGTTTATTTACTTAGGGAGCACGCCAGGGAGAGGGAGAGAGAGTCCCTCTCTCTCTTCCCACTTTCAGCACAGACCTCGATGTGGGGCTCGAACTCCTGAACCATGAGATCATGACCTGAGCCGAAATCTAGAGTCGGGCACTTAACTAACTGAGCCACCCAGACGCCCTGAAGTCTGGGAATTCTAAAATGAATGAGGTCTGGAACAAAAACCTGTTTGGAGGCATAAGATGGGCTGGGGATGCAGGGGAGCGAGAATGGCTCTGTTTGGAGAGATCTGGGGAGGATCCTTGGAGGAGGCAGCATTGGACGGGTGCTTGAAAACTCAGCAGAGGTGGGGTAAGCATTTGCGCATAGGGACCAGCCTTAAGCAAAGGTTTGGAGGCAAGATTTATCAGGGGGCATTGGGGAAGGTGAATATTTATGATGTGGAAGGAAGGCAAATCTACAGAGCCTTGTCGTTCAGGTGGGGAGGCTTCTGAGGTAGGCGGGGAGGATTAAGCAGGAATGACCCGGTCAGATGATCTCTGGAAGGCTGGATCTGAAGGAATGAGACTAACAGCCAACACATAGTGAGTGCCAGGCCCCAGGCTGGGTGGTTTATATGCGCTAGAATGTTCACAGTCATTTCTGAGGAAGGCACTGTTACTGTGCCCATTTTACAGAAAATGCAGGCCTAGAGGGGGTAACATGCCAATGTTGCAAAGCTGTGAAGTGGTGGCTTCAGGAGTCTAACCATTTGGTTAGACTGTAACAACCGTTTGGGGGTTGAGGGGCCTCTGAGGAGGGTGTTCCAGTCATTTGGCTGACCGCTGAAGGGAACCTGAATTAGATCAATAATCCAGGGAGATGGGGAGAGGTAGAGGAAGTTTCCATTTTTAAGAGGGCAACTTTCCAGGACTGGTGGCTGATTGGATGAGGTGGTTGGAGACAGGGAGGAGTCGAGGCTGGAGCCCCAGGTCCACAGCCTGAATGTTGGGGTGGGTAGGGAGGGGTGCTGTCACTGGGCTTGGGAACCCAGGCTGGATCAGGGCAGGGAGGGGGGGGCTAGGGGGCGGTGAGGAGTTCAGATTGAAACCTGCGGTGGTGTGGGACAGATGTCTTGAAGGAGGTGACTGGGAGGACAGGAAATACGGGCACCGAGACCGGGAGGCGAATGCGGGTTGGAGATGGTGATCGTTGGAGGTCATTGGTGCGATGGTGGCTGAGTGATGGGGTGCCCAACCGGCATCACTGGTGTTGAGTGAGCAGGAGGCAGGGACGCTAAATCCCCTCCTGTTAATGGAGTGCCCACGCAAATAGTCCACACCTCCCAACAAAGGGTCACTGAATGGGAGTATGTAACCCTAGGCAAGGCCATTGAGCGTTTGGGAGCAGGGCAGAGGGAGAGGAATCCATGAAGGAGAAAGGAGGAGCAGCCAGAGAGGTGGGAACAGAAGCCTATTTTGTAGTAGGACGGGTTAGAAGCTAAGGGAAGAAAGAATTTTACCAAGAAGTGAGTGGTCAGGAATTGTCAGTTGTCCCAAAAGTGAGGAAGGGGCCCGGGGCAGGGTGGGGGGCGACTTGCAGACGAAGCAGTATAGGTGTACAAAGCGTTTGGAGCTAGAGGTGTTGATGGGGTTGCAAAGCTATAGAGAAGCTACACCAAGCGAGGGGGGCTTTCAGACCTACAGTCGTGAGGAAGAGGGCTCTTCACCACCAGCCGGCTACCAGTCTTCACTGCGCCTGCTAAGTCGGTCCGGGTTGAGGTTCTGGATTGGGCTGAGGTCCTCGTCCCCGAAACAGGTAGTAGTTTGGTACTCGCCCTGAGAGTCCTGTGTCCCTTGGGGCTGGAGGAGCTCAGGTGAGAGAAGTCTTGGCCTCCTGCCTCCTTTTAAGTCTTCACGTCTCTGGCACTGGCCCTGCTGCTAGTGGTGCAACTGGCTGCATTTGGTTCCTGGCACTTTCCTGAGGAACCTAGAGGGTCCCTGGGAGGTGGAACGAGGGAGAAGATAGGAAGTGGGGTGGGCCTGGTCCTGGCTCTGATGACGATGTGCTGTTGACCGGCAAGGCCCATTGGGACCTTGCCAGATCTGAGTTTCCGATTCCATTTCTCTGAAGGGGGCCAGAATGCTTTGTTTTGACTCTTCAGGGATGTCATGGGTGGGAACCCATGAGCAAGGAAGCCCAGAGACCCACCGCTCATGCCTACCCGGCTGGCCTGTGTGGTGCACGTTGGGGCTGCCAAACCCACTACAGAATAGTAACACGCTTCCCCCTTCCACCTGGTGAAGAGCTGCTGCCTCAAGTCCCTAGTTCTTCGTCCCTAACCTGGACCCTCCCCGTAAGTGTGACTGAGGGGGCCCCTTACCCTCCATCCTCATTACCCTGCAACTAAAGCAAAGGTGCTTCACCTTTCTGTGTGTCATAGTCCCCTTTGTTATCATCTGCTGAGGCCTATAGACAAGAAGGGCTTTTAAAAAATAAATATAAAATATATGGCAATCCTAAATACTACAAACTATATAATAGAAATCTGTATATCTATTCTGCAATACCTGTAATATAATGTGAAAACATCTGTGATTTTTTTTTTTAAGTTTGACATTTATTTATTTTTGAGACAGAGAGAGACCAGGTGTGAGTGGGGGAGGGGCAGAGAGGGAGGGAGACACAGAATTCGAAGCAGGCTCCAGGCTCTGAGCTGTCAGCACAGAGCCGGATGTGGGGCTCGAACCCACAAACCGTGAGATCATGACCTGAGCCGAAGCCGGATGCTTAACCGACTGAGCCACCCAGGCGCCCCCATCTGTGATTTCTAATCTGCTATTTCTCTACCTTGTATTATAGGACAAAGCCACAGATTCTACTAAAGCTACTGTGATCTGTTGTGGACATTCGTAATTGAGGGAAATCCTAAATTTGAGGTAGAGAGGAATGAAAATGAAGGTATAATTTCTTCATCCAATTTAAGGAGCCCATGAATTGTAACCAGTTTTAGAACCCTTATGTTTAGAGCCCCCTCCAGAAAAAGGTGACCTCCTCCTAAACGGGGCACTTCCAGACCCCACATGCATTCAGCTCAAATAAGTGGTTGAACACTTGGTGTGAGGTGGCCAGCAGGGGGCAGCATACGAATGGCAGTGTGTGGCTCCGCTCAGAGTGTCACTCACTGCAGCCCAGGTTTAAAAGGTGAAGGGCCATCTGGTTACAAACAAAAACAAACACAAGACCCCAAATCCTGTTTGCCACCTGCCCTACCTGTGTGGGTCCCAGCTCACTCGTAGGTGTGCTAAATGGGCCCAGGGGACAGAGGTCTGACCGAGTGCCTCTGGAGATGTCCTCTGCTCACCACCTAGGCTGGAAGTGTAGAGTAGGGGCTTCAAGGAGAGCCTTCACCCCCTTCCTTTACAGCCAGGGCTGGGCTGGGGCAGGGGGTCTTCCTCTTGGGTGCACTGGCTGGCCATGCTTTCCCCCACTCGGCACCCTATCCTTCCAGTCCCAGGACACAGGCTTAGAGCCTCTCAGGGGGGGTGCTGCTGTGGGGTGGGGCTCCATTATGGTATCTTCTACAGAGCTGTCCTCTGGGGCACACAAGTGTTGACGGGGCCCCAGGCCTGGCCCCTGGAAGAACTTTCCAAGCAGAGGCCCCATCTGCTGCTGCTCTGAGACTTGAGCTTCGCGTATGTGCTTTTGTCTCCCACGCCTACCCTGTCCCTGTGGGGCTTCCTCTTGGGCTGTCCTCTGGTGACAGCAGCTGGCCTGAAGGTGGCACCTGGAAGGTGAGTCTGAAGTGCGATTGAGGGGCCCCTTACCCTCCAGAGGCCACCCTCCAAGGCCGGCAGTGCCAACAGCACCAGACTGTCCCGTTCATGTCACCTGTGGAACCCAGAGCCCCAGCCAGTGAAAGATGGGGGACAGGAAGGCACAGGCTGGGTGGGGAAGTGACCTCGTCTTGTGTGAGGAGATGGGGGCGTCCGAGGAGGGAAGCGGTGAACCTCAGTAGGAAGGGGTGCAGGGGAGGGAATCCTCTTCCTCCTTATGGGCTGCCTCCTTGCATCCGTTAGGCGGTTCTCCTGGGAAGAGGCTCCGCTCTCTTGCCCTCGCATCCTCCCCAAGGACGTCCTCCTGGATGCCTCGCTCTTTGGATTTGGAAACTCGATGGTACAGGATGGTTGGCGGGACATCACAAACCCAGGGCATCTACACTTAGTGAGGCCTGGCCTTTCTGTCCAGGGAGTGGAAATCCAGAAACGAAGCGTCGAGAGCCAAGAGCGCAAGGCGCTTCCTTTATTGTTCCGGGTCGGGGGACAATGGCCTGCCACCTAGGGATCTGCCTGTGCCTAACGGGAGCCCAGGCAAACCTCTGAGGGTGCTTGTCGCCCCCAGGCCCCCAGGCCCCCAGGGTAGGCGGAAGCTCCCACCCTCAGCCAGGCCACACCCCCTAGCTCCAGGGCGGTGCCGGGTCTGCCAAGCAGTCAGAGAGAGGGGAGCGTGGCTGCCCACTCCCCTCCCCGCCAGCCTGTAACCGGCTCCTCTTCCCTGAATGCCGAGACTGCCTGGGACGGTTGGAAGTAACTCGTAAGCTGGGACCTAAACTACATGAATTTCTTACAGAGAAGGGGTGAGATGGTAGTGATCTGGAGGGGGCCTTCCTGCACCCACGGCTGGGAAGGGAGGACACTTCTAAGTTTCTGAGGGCAAGGGCTTTTCCAAGCACTGTGTGTCAGAATTGGGCTCAGTTTTGGTCCCGGGGTGGGCACTGCCCCTCCTCTGTGTCCTTCTGGGGGAGGCCAGACAGAGCCTAGTAGGGTGGGGGCTGTTACTCAGACAAGAGGCCCACAGACAACTTGGGGAGAGGCCCCATACCTCCTCCTTGACAGGCTGCTGGGAGGAAGATGGGAGAATAAATACAGGGGGCTTCTGGGAGAGAACATGCCAGGAGGGGCCAGGCCTGCAGAAAACGTGGACATCGGGGTAGGGTTTCAGGGTCTTGGACCTGGCATGGGGACCCTGAGCCCTCAGCTGTCAGCTGCCCCAGGAATGGAGCGATCAGGCCCTCCTTGGTGGAGTTCTGATTCCTCTGGGTAGAAGGTGGGAGGGTGAGTGTATGTCTGAATGACTCTGTGTGTGTGTGTGTGTGCGCGCGCGCGTGCACACGTGCACACGCATGTGCATATGCATGCACACATTACACAGAAGGGCTTAAGTATGGATGAGTGTGAGTTAGAGAGAGTGTTTTTTGTTTTACAGGTTTTTTGTTTTGTTTTGTTTTTTGTTTTTTGTTCTCCCAGACACTGGGTTTTCAGGGACCCTGAGTGACAAGCTGGCTCACTCAGGTGGCAGAAATGTGTGAGGGGCAGCGTTGTGGGTGGTGTCTTCTTCACCCCCGGCTGCCGTCTAACAAACAGTTGGCTTAGTGGCATAGGGGACAGGGATGGTTTTCCTTCCTTGACCTTGAAGGTGAGCCCGATGTGGGCGGCCAGCTGGGACTTCCAGACAGACAAAGGCTTCTGGGCGTGGCTCATGCTAGGGCCATGGGCTTGGAGCTGGGGCTGAGGTACACAGCGGGGCCAGTGGGGGCCGTGGGGGGTGTGGGCTCCAGCTCCATGAAGGCCGAGTAGAGAGTGGTGAGGTGCAGGTCACCCAAAGCCCCGGAGCCCCCACCGCCTGGGGGTGCCAAGTCGCCGCTCCCACTGCCCGTCTCTCCCAGACAGGGCCCAGGCGGGAAGCAATGGGGGGGCGGCGGGGGCGGCGGCATCGAAGATGATGTCGGGGACGAGGTCACCAGTACCAAGGGGTCAAGGGCCAAGCTGTCATCCTTCAGCTGTTCCCACAGATTTCCTAGGTGGTGGAGAGAACAGGTGTCACTGGGAGGTGCGAAGGAGCCCTGCCTGCCCCCCACCCCATGGCTCTCACATGCGAAAGAGAACAGGATTGGGGTACCCTTGACAGGGGAGCATCCCCTTGGTGCTAGCCGTGTGACCCCAGCAGTTGCCAGAACTCCCGGATCCCTCTGTCGTAGCCTAAAGGATCTCTGGGGCTCTGTTTTTTCGAGGTCGGGGGGTGGGAGAGTGGAGGAGTCAAGGACTTGAGAGCTGCCTATTGGAAGGCACTCCGCAGTTAGCCTGCAGAGGGAGCCCCTGGAATTCTTCCCCCGGCTCCTGCCCAGGCTCCCAAGGAAGGTGGCTGTACAGCCAAGACCAAGGACCTTCCAACACAGGACCCGATGTGGTGGCTGGGCTCGGCTCTCTGGGCCTCCGCCACTGCAGGCCCAAGGAAGAGGAGCAGAGCCGGGAGCACTGACTCTACGGAGGAGGCAATGCTGCCACCCCAGCCTCATTCTGTTGTGTGTCCTGCGTGGCTCGTGGCAGGCCAGGGCCTGGCCTGGTTATCAGGGCTGCAGGGATGGAGGAAGGGGGCCACGCTAAACCCTGGGCTGAACTTGGCTGCTTGGGTTCCAACCCTAACTCCCCTTCTTTCCAGCTGTGGGACCTTCAGTGAGTTACTGAACCTCAACGTGCTTTTGTGAAATGGGTTTAACAAGCCTCCTATTTTATAGGCCCATACGAGAGAGCACAGGTGAAGCAACTCCCGTGATGCCTGGTTGTCACGAGGGGCTCAAGTAAATGTTTCTAGGAGCCCACATGTCTACACCTTCCTCTGAGGCTCCCGCTTCCTGATGGGGCTGAGGATCTAGCTGCACGTTTCTAAAGAGCTTTCCAGGGCCTGGGCTGTCTCCTCACAGGACTGGGAGCTCTGTGAGGGTCAGCTGTCTCCACCTCCTTGTGGACGTCCCCTACCCTGGTGCACCCAGAGGGTCCGAGGCCTGGGTCGGCACCCTCCGCCGAGTCCCCTGTCGCTGGGACCAGGGCCTGGGCACATGCACTGAGGTTTAAATTAGAATGTCTGGGCTTGGCCACGTGCCGAGAGATGGGGCGGGCAGGGTGGAATGGGATAGATAGAGCCTCTTCCCAGACTCCTATCCCCAGAGCTCTCCAGGACTGGCCTTCTTCTGAGGCCTTCCATTCTTCCTGGGGGAAGATCTCTTTCCGCCTTCCGTATTAAAAGATGAACTCTGAGAACACGCAACCACTTCTAGGGAATGTCCCGACTGTCAGTCGCTCACCGCCAGCATGGAATGGAACTTGGGCTCTTTCCCATCTACCCGGAGCTGAGAGTGGTTTGATGATGGGGCCATTTGGAACATGTTCAGGGGCAACGGGAGGAGGGGGACGGAGGCAAGGACGTCCCTCTTTGCCCCCTGGGCATCCCTTTGCCAGTCTCTGCTTCAATTGACCAGAAACCTGGCAGCGCCAGGCAGCGCCTGGAGACTCAGAGGAGCTGAGCCACGCTGCGAACGCACCTGCCCAGTCCTTTCCCACCTTCCCTGTCCCATCCCCGGCTCACCCTGGAAGTCAAAGTCGGTGAGAGAGGGGTTGATGGCATCCAGGTCAGTGCCAAGGTCTCCGTCTGGCAGCAGGGGGTCATGCATGGTCCTGGCCGGGGAAGGCTCGGCCAGCAGCTTGGCGCTGTGGCTGGGCGGGGTGTTGGCAGGCAGAGGCGAGTCCTGGGGGGTGCCTGGCTGGGCCCGCAGCTCAAGGTGCCCGTCTGGCTGCGGGAACAATGGCTGTGGAGGTCCAGGAGGGGCCAGGCCCGGTGAGAGGTGCGAATATGTCTGCCCGTAGCAGGAGGGCACGTGTCCCCCAAGAAGGTCCTGCAGGGGGTTCTTGCCAGGAATGGGGCCTGGGGCTGGGTGGATGGAATGCAGTGGCTGGGAGAGCCCAACTGGAGGGCCCAGGGGCCGGACGGGGCCGGAGGCTGCCAGCCCGGGGGGTGGGCAGCCCAGCAGTGGGGAGCCCAGCTTCTCCCTCTTCTCTCCGATGAGGCTGTCCAGCTCTTCTGAAAAGACCCAAGAGAGAGGGACACCGTGAGACCTCACGATCCCTCCCCAGTCTTGGAATCACTCAGGCCCTTCCCTTACTAACAGGTTCTCTTTGCTCAGCCTATTCAGCTTCTCTCTCTCTCTCTCTCTCTCTAGCCTTGTGGATATGCCAGGCCCTCCCTCGCTCCCTTGCACTGCCTGCTGGCCTCCCACCTGGCTTGGCCATGCTCTTGCGCACAGCGATAGGGTCTTTCCTCTTCCACTTCTGCAGCTCCTCCTGCATCTTGTCGATCTTGGCCGGATTGAGGGCCCACAGACAGCCCTTGCGAGAGGAGCTTCCTGATTTGTTCTCCACCTTCTCAAAGCACTTGTTGAGAGAAAGGTTGTGGCGAACAGAATTCTTCCAGCCGTCGGGCGCTGTCTGCCGGGGCGGAGCAAGACAAGAATTCAGGCCAGGGTTATGCAGCCGGAGCGGGGTCTGGGCTCCAGGAAGCTCTTCCTGCTCCCTCTGGGCACAGAACCGCCACCCGTCGGGAGCTTGTTGTCTTCCTCAGCACCCAGCCCATGCTTGGCACCCATCGGTGGTGGGAAGGGATCTTGACCGCAAACTATTTGCCCTCAAAATCTGCCTTCAGCCCGCCCGCATGTCTGGTGACCCTTCAGAGGACCGCTGGGGTGATTCACAAAGGGACGGGCCCCGTTCCCTATCTGGAGTCGGACCACTCACTCCCCTGGGTCCTCTGGCCTGTGCTGGGACCCCTCTGTGGAAAGGGAGCTCACTACTCAGGTGTTGGATGCCACCTTTGGACTTAGGAGGAAGCTGTGGAATGTTCCTTTCCTGGGACTACCTCATCCCTGCTGGGGCAAACTCAGAAGCAAAGACAGAGGGGCGAGGTTGTGTCTGGCCGTGTGCACCTGTCGCACACACGTTGTGTGAATATCTGGGTTTTGGCGACGGAGGGAGGGAGGGGGAGGCTGGCTGTGTGTACGTGCCCTCGCGTGTCCCTGAGTATGTCTCCCGGGTGTGAGCCTGTCTCCTGGGTGTGGGGCCGCGAATTCCCTCCAGCCTGAGGATGTACGTGTGAGAAAGTCTCTCTGGGTGTGTGAGGGTACCCATGAGTGCATGCGTGTGTGGGTGTGAGTGTTCACATGAGTGTGCCCGGGGGGGCGTGGCCTGGGGGGCCAGCCCTCAGGTGGGGAGTGGGGGGGCTCGTGCCAACAGAATAAACACCCATTAGGAGGCCCGGTCATGCCACCAGTGCGGTAATTGTGCTCAGGGAGGGTTGTAAAAACCATTAGGCTGACTCAGTTGGGTGAGAGGCGGTGGCGGGGGTGCCAGTGGGCACCCCATCCTCCCCACCTCCAGCTCTGTGACAGCCTCTGTGACAGTCCTGGGCCCAGGAGGGGCTGACTATGGGCAGAACATCTGCTCCAGCCAGTGGGGCCCCCATACCTTCAGCCCCTGGTCCCTTTTCCCTTTCACCTTGCAGTTTCTGGTTAACGAGGCCCGGCCACTCCCTCCTCCCCAGCTCTCTTGCCCCCGGGGAGCAGCCAGGCTGAATCACGCCCAGCAGGACTGGGTCCCGATGCCAGCCAGCGTCAACTGCAAGTTGCTGGCAGGAGCCGCCGGGGGCCTTAGTCGGGGGAAGCTGGCCTGAGGGAGGGGGCTGGTTGAGATGCCCCCCAAGGCTCCCAGGGTCCTGAGGGAAGATTCTTGAGCCACCAAACCAGCCAGCTGGGGATTCACCTTCAATCCCACGACGGTCCCTACTAGGAGTCAAGGCTGTGTCGCCTGATGGGCAGAGTTAATGGGCACTGGGCCCTTTTATGGGCCCATAAACCTGTGACTTTGGGATGCCAGGGCAGCCCCCACCGCAGCCACTTCCTGTTTGGAAGAGGGATGGTCAGCACTAGCAATTATGTCCAGTGGCTGGACATATCCCCAGTCCTACATCCATGATTCATGGGGCTATAGGACACCCAGCTCAGCTGCCTTGGGCATGAGTGCTGCACATCCCAGGGTCCACTCTTCTTGCCCGGAAACATGACCTTCAAATGGAGAGTGAGAGATAAATGGGGCAGAGGATCTTCGAACTAATTCGTTGGGTAGGTCAGAGGGGATCCGTCAGAGTGGGAAGGAAGGACCGTATGTGCTAACAGGTCCAACCTGACCATTTTATGGATTGGGAAACTGAGGTCCAGGGAAGAAAGGGCCTGGCCCTAGATCACACAGGAGGCAGGGACAGAGCTGACTCCAGCTCTGTCCCCTCATTAAGGGCCCTGCCCAGGTCACCCTATAGGGCTGGCTTCACCACTGGGGCCCGTCCCAGGCTCACAGATGCTTTCTCTCTGAAGTCAAATGTAAACTCGGGAGTGAGGGGTGATGCAACTGGCTAAGAACAACAACTAGAACCAAAAACAAAACAAAACAAAACAAAAGCTGTTAGACCTCTTCACTCTCCAGCCCCATAAAACAGGGATTACACAGCTCCCAGGAAAAATAATTAAACCAGGAAGATGAGATGCAGGGAGGGGCTGGGGGCCAGGCCGGGAGTTGGCAGGGAGGAATGGCTGAGAGGAACAGGGCAGGGCCCTCACTTCCCTCTCTCTGGCCTGGCCCCTGGAAGCCCTATAGAAGGCCCTCCAAAGGCTACAGGGGTTAGGAAGAGTTTGGTCGTCAGATCTGTTGGGATATAAGGGCAGCCCCGGATACTGGCTTTGATGCTTCTCGGATCCTAGAGACAGCCCTCTCCCCTCCTCCTCTCCCTTCCAGAATCTCTGGTGGATGGCCATTCTTCCCCATTCCCGGCCGGACCACTTTGGCCATCTTGCCCACTCATTGGATGGCAATGCAGCAAGTATAAACCTGCTTGGCTATCGGCTTCTGATTAACCCCAGGCAGGACCATTGGGAAGAGCGTGGAGCCAGGGATCGCCTACTGACAGGTGGAGATGAGTCCCGGACCCCGGCCTCAGCTCCTGCCTTCTGTCTGGTTAGCGGATGAGATTGTATCCCCCAGGATGTAGGGACCTGGGAGAAGGCACTCCTCACACACAAACTCTGATCTCCCCTGCACCCACCCTGGAAGAAGAGGTCTGTGCTGGAGGGTCTGGGGAGGGGGGGCAGACGTGTGACGCCAAACAGCTTGAGGCAAAAACGGATTGCCCCCCCTTCCCCCCCGCTGTGTGACCTTGAGCGGGTGGATCACCCTCTCTGTTGTGTTTGCCCATCTGGAGAGAAGGACATCTGTCCTACCTCTAGGGAGGGAGTCTGGTAGAGCCCTCAGAAGCCCCTTGAGTGGGTGACAGGAACTAGAGACTGTACAGGTGAGCCACCCAGTTCCCTGGAGCGCTTGAAGACTGTGAAGCCCACACCCCGCTTTCCTGCAGAACTGTAGCTGAGCCTGCCGCCCACAGAGGCAGATCTTAATCTCTCCCTGGAAGGCAATGGGTCTTGTGGTCCCAGCATCCTATGCCACCTTGGCTGCCTAGCTCTTACCCAAATTCCTTTAACCCTACAGCAGCCTGGGGGCAGGGGTGGGGACAGGCTCTCCTTTCTTCCCAAGGCGTCTCTCCCTACTTGGGGTAGGTGGATGCTTCTGGAAGCCTGTCAGGATGGGCATGTCCACTTTCCACCAGCATAAGGACTGACTCCAGCCTGCTGTGTAGCCTTGGGTGAATGGCTTGAGATCTCTGTTCCTTGTACGGAACTCTGACCTTTTGAAGTGGAGACAAGGGGAAGCACGGTGGCGGGGATGGGGGGGGGGGGGCGCAAACCAACTCCTGGCTTTCCTTCTAACTCCTGTTCCACCTTCCAACGGAAGCCTCCTGGCCTGCCCAGGACTTGGGGATGGCAGGATCGGGGTGGATCTTGGGGCTCACCTTGAAGTAAGGAAAGTGCTCCGTCATGAAATTGTAGATCTCGCTGACAGGAAGGCTCCCAGTTTTACTGTTCTTAAGGGCCATGAAGATGAGGATGCTGAAGGCAGAGAAAGCCTTGAGAGTTTGAACTTGGGGCAGGCCGGGAGTCTCCCCCTCACCACCCCACCTGTCCTGGCAAGAGTAGTTGAGGAGGAGCCAGCTGGAGGCTTAGGTGAGAGGCTCTATGAGTCCGAAAGGAGAAAAGGTGAGAATGCGTCCGCGGAAGTCAGGACTTAGGGCTATACGAGGGTCTTGTGGAATCTGAGAGCCTTGGGTTGTAATCCCGGTTTGGCCACTCACTAGCTATGTGACCTTGAGTGAGTGCCTTAACCTCTCTGAGCCTCAGTGTCCTCCGCTTTGAAATAAAAAAAGTAATAGCTACCTCAGAGTTGTGAGGATTAAGGACGATGCCTAGAATATAGAGGACACTCATTAAATGGAAGCTGTCATTACCAGTCAGCCCTCAACCAATGGCACATTGAATGTTGGATAGTAAGGGAGGGAACTGATGTTTCTTGAACCCCTGCCCCTACAATGTGCCAGGCACATTTTCTCACTTAATCCTTCCAAAGGCCTGAATATCGCTACTCCTTTTTTTTTTTTTTTTTTTAAACAGAGGAATAAACAGGCTCAGGGAGGTTCAATAACTTGCCTGAGGTTTCACAGCTAGTAAATTCCAGAGCCTCGACTTGCTCCTTTTCTGTGCATCTTCCTGCCTCCCACAGACCCCCTCTCTGTGCTCTTGGCTGCTGTTTAAGCTCCTTTTTCTTCCCTGAGCTCACGTAGGCTGATGACCAGACCACGCGTGGAGGACCTAGCACCCAGGAGGTCAAGTCTCACTGCCGGTTGGATGAATGACACGTCAGGTGGAAGGTCTCCGAGGTGGGGTGGGCGTTGGGGGCTTGGCGCTTACAAGCCCAGCCCCCCAGAAGTTAGCTCCCATCTGGCAGGGGCTAGAGACCTGAGCTAGGCAGGCCTCCTCCCTCCCTTATTTATTTCCATTAGAGCTTTGGGGTTGGGCTTCCTTCTGTATGTAGGGGAAAGGAAGGGACACAGGAGCGAGCATCCCTCTTAAACTCTCCGTCCCAGGTGCTGGGCCCCAGGAGGCTAGAACTTAGCGGGCCCATCTCAGGACCCACATCCATTGAGTAGAGCCTCTGACATAGCTCCCCAGGGTTACACAAGAGGTCAGAGGTGATCTAATCCATCCCCCTGTCCCCCCGCCCCCCTGCAGGAATCTCTTCTCCAGCATCCTCTGGAAGCCTGCTGGGTACGACTTCCCTCCTCTGGCATCACCTCATACCTCGAAGATTCCACGCCTCAGTTTCTCTGCTGGTCCTCTCACCCACTCCCTTCCACCCCAGGGTGTGGGGAAACTTACCTGTAGGAGTAAATGGGTTTGGGGAAGAGAGGCTGGTGCCCATCGGTGCTTGCCTGGGGTGCGATCCGCTGGTATGGATAGTGTGAGGAGCCCAGGTACGGGACTGGGTAGCCGCCGCCACCTGGTGAGTACTGTAGAGGTCAAAGGGGCAGGATGGTTGCCATGGTAACGAGTCTTTCCCAAGGTGGGGGTGATCCCCTCCTCCCCCCATTCATATACATCCAGAGAGGGAGTTGAAGCTAGACTCTTCTCTCCCTGGTCATGGGGTCCAATAGCAGAGCCATCTGAGGGGGCTGGAGGAGGGCGAGGACCTCTGAGGAGATCCGCATCCCCAAATTCGGGGTCTCAGAGCCCCCAAAGCTCCTTCCGTCCTGGCTTCCTTCTGCTACTGCCAGCTAGGTGCTCTGGTTGCCATGGCGATGGGCTAGAGAGTGTGAGGCCTCCCCGCCCCGCCTCCCCTGCATTTCCCGGAAGCAGCTGGGCCAGAAGCAGGGTGTCCAGCCTGGGTGTTCGTTTGCTGGGCACTGCCACCCTTTATGAGTTTCAGCGGTTCTTTGAAAGGGCCGGTCACGTTGGTGGGCAGGTGGGGGTAGGAGGTGGTTTTACGGCAAAGGGAGTGGCTGTGGTGCCAGGGGTGGTGTTTTATGGGGGCCAAGGGGGTAGGAGACTCTGACTCCCCCTTCTGCTCCAGGCTGAAGTGCCCTTTCCAGGTCACCCGAGAGACACTTAGTGCCTGAGTCACCCTCTCTGCAGGCTCCATAAAGGCCTGGGTGCGGCCATCTTGTTCGAGGGGGTGCGGAATGCAGAAAGCATCAAAGCAAGGCTGGGCATGGTGAGGCCATTTAAGGTCTGGCAGCCCCTTAGCCCTGCTGTGGCCCAGTCCCTGATGGGCCAGGCTGCTTCAGGGACACCCCCGACCCGGGCTCACACCTGGAGCCTCAGGACGACTGTAGCCTCGCCAGCGAGGCTCCTCACGGCAGTGAGGGTGCCCCCGCACATGCTCCCGCTGCTTCCCTCTGTCTCTCTCTTTCCCCCAGCAAGGCAAGCAGTCTGACCACCTCCCCCACTCCCCCCACATGCCTGCCTCCCTGAGTTGGCCAAGATCAGGGCCAAAGCCAAATGGCTGGGAGTAGAACCTGCTCCACAGGCAGGGCCTGTCTCAGCGCCAGGCTGCAGGTGGATGGAGCTGGGCGCTGGGCGGCCACTTGCTCCGTCTTGCCCAGCGACTCCTGGGAGCTGCCTGGCCGCTCTGGGGCTCTTCCCGGCCTCTTTCTGAAAGCCCGCATCCCATGCCAACGTGGGACAAGTACTCGGCGGGCTGTACAGGGCCGCATCGCGGAGCCTGGGCAGTGGGGGTGCTGAAGGGGGGGCCGGACCAAGGATGCGGGGATCTTGGAGCCTTCTAGGTGGGAAGGCCGCATCCCTCCATGCCTGGTCCCACCCTGCTGAGGTGAAAGGGAAGTTTGGAGCCAAGGCTGCGTAGCGCGACAGTGGCTGACCCAGATGGGAGCCCGTCGTTTCCTTTCTGCTCCGTCTTGTGTCCCCCCGTATAACCCCTTTCTCTCTGCCCCTGTGTTTGGCTCTCCTCCTCCATCCCTCTTTGATTCGCATCTGGGCCCTGTCCCACTCTAGGCCTCACCAGCTTTTCAGAGACTCTCAGATGAGCCCCATATGCTCCTAGAGAAAGGCAATGGCTTCCTCCCTTCCCCTTGAACCCCTGTCCCCCAGCCCCAGTGGCCTAGCCTGAGGTCCCGGGTCCTGCTGCCTCCCCCTGTGGGCGTGCATACCCACATACACGCGTGCACACCTCACACCACATGATATCCTGAGGCCCCAGGGAGTCATGCCCACCTGTCCCTGACCCACCTGGTGGAAGGAGGGCTGGGAGGGACAGTACATGTGCTGCAAGGGAGGCTGGTAACAGTACATCCCAGGACCGGTCTCCAAAGCTGGGGGCTTGACCTTGACCTCTGACCCCTGCTGGGAGAGAAAAACAGATGACCAGCCTGGGCCTTAGTGTTCTTCCTCCCTCTCTTCTGTGGCTTGAAACTTACACAAAAGCAACCTCTACTCTGCCTCCCCCGACACGTATTCCTAGAGAACGCATAGAGAACAGAGAAGGTCAGGGGCGTTCCCGCGGGAACTCAGCACGTTAGTAGTGGAGCTGGGGCTGGAGTTGACAGCGCTCCCGCTCTCATCAAGCCTGGCTTGGGGTCTGCTTGCGTTCAGAGCTGCCAGCCTCTCAGAGCAGGTCTGGGAAAGACATCTGGAAAAGGCCACTGCTCTAGAACTCCCACTGCAGAGCTATAGTTAGGGGAGCCCAGGCAGTGGCCGGACAGGTTGATCCAGCTCATGACCCCAAGCCCTGCTACTTCGTCCTCTGCAAAGCCTAAGGGAGCTCTAGCAGTCTCTTTGGAGGGAGTTGGTGGGTCCTCCCCACTCTATCTTCCTGTCATCCTCAACTCAGGGCAGCTGGTCTGTTGGAGGCCCTTGGCACTCTTTCATCCCTGTCTGGAGCTGCTGCCAGTGGGTGGTGACCAGACTCTGGCTCCCCAGGGGTTGTGGGCTCCGCAAAGAGCCCCCAGATTCTAGCACAGTGCCCCCAGAGTAGTGCCAGAAAGCATGCACAGCTAGGCACTGGAAGGTGAATAAGGCCGGGCGGAGGTGGACCACTCTTGTTGGGTACCCAGGGGACCTTGGAAACCAGCATCCGGGCCCAGAGGGTCAAATCAACTGTTAGCTCTTTGTGGATGTGCCCTGGGGTTGCTGATGCAGAGATAGCCGTAATCATAGAATCTCAGGCCCGGAAGGGCCAAGAGCACGATGTCCAACCTCCTCATTTGGAAGATGATGGGGCTGAGCCCACTGAGGGGAAGTGATGTGTCCCAGGCCAGCCAGTGAGTCGCCCAGCTAGCTGGTCCTCTGGGCCTGAGCCCCTCCCCACCGTGCAGGGGGTAAGGGAGTGGCCTCAGAGCTCAGCCTCCCTTCCCATAGGCCAAGGCACGCCTTGGGCAAGTGCCTCGGCCTCTGCGGAACCTTGGTTTCTTCATCTGCAAAATGAGGACAGTGAGGGATCTTTAGAGGGTTGTTGTGTGGATTACATGGGCCGCTTGAAAGAAAGGATGTGGCACAGCGAGCAGGGGCTGGCGCTGAGTGGACATTTGGGGGCAGCAGCTAATATGATGGTGCCCTCACCATGAGCTGCTGCCGTGTTCACTGGGCCCGAGGAAAAGCCATCAGAGGGTCCCAGAACCCAGGCTCTTGACTTGGCCACAGCTGGTAGCTACTCAACTCCTTCTCTATCTTCCAAGTCTAGGAATCAGGCTTTGTTGGGGGTGGCTTGGGGACAGAATGGGAGCCAGTCAGAAAGCAAGAGGTGACTGAACGCGCCCGATCTCGTCTGATCTCGGAAGCTAAGCAGGGTCGGGCCGGGCTAGAGCTTGGATGGGAGAAAGCAAGAGGTGAGGGGAGCTGGTGGGCATCTGGAGAAGGCACAACCCCGGCTGAGCCCATTCAGTGCTTGCTACCTCAGGGATCTCCAGACCTCTCTTTAGCTTTACTCTGCCCAAGGCAACAAGCCTCTGAGGCGGGTCCCTGTAGTCATACTTTTCAGATGAGGCCCAGAGAGGTTAAGTGACTAGCTCAAGATCACACAGCTTGTGGGTGTGGCTGTGAATGGGACATGTTGGTTGGCCTTCCAAGGCGCTTTCAAGATATTTCTATGAATAGGGGCGCCTGGGTGGCCTAGTCGGTTGAGCGTCCGACTTTCACTTAGGTCATGATCTCGCAGTTCGTGGGTTCGAGCCCCGCGTCGGGCTCTGTGCTGACTGCCAGCTCAGAGCCTGGAGCCTGTTTCAGTCTGTGACTCCCTCTCTCTCTGACCCTCCCCTGCTCACGCTGTCTCTCTCTCTCTCCTGGAAATAAATAAAACATTAAAAAAACAAAATTAAAAAAAAAAAAGATATTTCTATGAATATACCCAGGCACTGTTCTGGGCAAAGAATGGGGCCCGGAAATTCTTTTGAGAAGACTTAAGGCCTCTCTCTTGAGGCAGTATGCTGATGCTAGAGAGGAGAACATTGTGCTCTGTGGCTCATCGCTAAACCCTTTCTCTTGGTCTCTGGAATGTGTTTTCCTTCTCACATTTGCATATGGGCGGGTAGGTCTGGCTGGGGATTCTTGACAAACAGAGAAATCACACACTGGAATCCTGACTCAGGAGCCTCTGGGAAGCTGCCAGCTTCCTCAGCCTGACCCGCCTCCCCCACCTTGCCCCCTCCATGCCAGGCCAGGTCAGCGTCCCCTCCCCCCGCTGACCTGGAAGCCAGAATGAAGCCGAAACCCCCAACTTTCTGAACTTGCTTCTGCCCTGGCACCTACTGACCCTGAATGGAAAGGTCTGGAAAGGGAAGGCGGAGTTCGATCTCAGGGCTTCTGAGAACTAGGAGGGATAGGAGGCGGCTGCTGGTACTCACCAGGACTTGGGGGCTGTGCTCCTGGCTGGGGTAGGGGAGCCCGTTGCACCAGGCCTCTGCCGAGAAGCCAGGCAGGAAGGCCTCAGCCTCCCCGACATCCACGGGGATCTCCTCGAAGGTCTCCAGCGCCCCCGGAGTCTTAAAGGAGTGTCCATCGAGGGCCAGGGCGGTCTGGGCCTCGGGGAAGACGTCCTCATGGAAGTGCCGCTTGTATGGGTGGAAAGGCCCATGGCCGCCCTTGAGGAAGTGCCCAGGGCTGCTTGCAGGGCCCTCCTCAAAGCCGAAGCTGGTGAACTTGTCTGAGGGTGAGAGCCGGAAGGGGCCCGGGCCAGCGCCGGCTGGGCAGTGGACTTGCTCAGGGCCAGGGGACGCAACGCTGGGGCTCTGTGGGGGCAGCGAGGATGCCCTCTCTGGGGGGCCGTCGGGCGCAAATGATGAGCAGCTGAAGCTGGCAAGCTTCTGGGGTGGATAGAGGGTGGAGAGCCCGTGAGTGGAGGCTGGACCAGGACGCGGCTCTGTGCTGGGGTAAAGGGGTCTGTGGCTGAGCCCTGGGGGCCCCCAAATGATGGAGGAGATATAGCCTGCCTTTGGGAGCCCTGGTCTGTGAGGGTTCACAGCTCCTAGACCTGAGGTGCCCGAGCCAGATGGAAACACAGCCTTGCCCTGGGCAAGCCCAGGCCGAAGGGATAAGCGGAGGCCTCTGTCTGAGCACTTCTGGATCCTTGGAGCCGCTGGGTACTTGTTGGCTGGTGGAAGGGACAAGGCAGACCCCAGGGGGTCCCTGGGGGCGGGGCCTAGGTGCCAGGTACTTACGTTCTGTGGGGCGGGTGAGCCTGGGAGGCCCGGCGCCTGCATGAGGTCCCCCTGGGGCTCGCCCTCCAGTCTGGCGGGGCCGGGCAGCGTGGCGTCAGACTGCGGCGGGAGTAGCGACACCATCACCCAGTCCTGGCCTCGAAGAAAGCCAGCTGTGATGAGAGTGAGGACCGGGGCCCGGGGGTGACCGACCCCAAGTTCACCACCTCCACTCCCACCCCCATCCCTGGGCTGGGACCCCGACTCCAGCCAGACACCTGGCGAGACAGAGACGGATAGACAGGCGGGTAAACACACAAAGTGAGAGAACATCAGAGACAGAAGGGAGCAGATAAACGAGAGACAGGAAGAAGGCGCGGAGGGGAGACTGGTGGAGGCGGAACAAAAGCATGCCAGGTAGGAAACCCCCCACCCCTCCCCAACCCCAGGAGGGACAGTTGGCTGCTTTGGGGCTCAGTGGCAGATGGTTCCTCCAGCCCCCGACTCCCCAGTGCGGGACTGAGCTAGGTGACCATGGCCAGCAGTCTCTGCTCAGTGACTGAGCATTCAGGTGGTCCTGACAGAAGGGGAACTGGAGAGAAGGGGTCAAGCCCAGGCCGAGGGTGGGAGTGACCCTCACGCTGCAGGTGACCCAGTCTTCCGTAGCGTCTGGGCCTGTGATGCCATTGCAGGGGCCGGTATGACCCAGATAGTGTCAAGTGCCACTGGGGACTTGAGGTGACCCTGTTGCCTGGTGGCCCTGTGAGCCTGGCATGGCGCCGGGCTGCCACCGCTGGCCCACTGTGCAATGTCTGGCCAGTGCTGTTTTCTCCTCCTCCTGCATCTCGTACCTGCGACCTCGCACAGGCCACTGCCCTCCCCTCCACCTTTTAAAAATATTTTATTTTTAAATAATCTCAACACCCAGTGTGGGGCTCGAACTCACAACTCTGAGATCAAGAGTCATACTCTCTACCGACTAAGCCGGCCAGGTGCCCCAGGCCCACTGCCCTTTCTGAGCTTTGGTTTCACTATTTGAAAACGTAGGGGCTTGTGCTGGATGATAGCTGAGGGCTCTGTCTGCTTAGACCTTCTAGAATTCCAGCCCTGTGTCCCCGGGCACAGCCCAGAGGTTGAGAGAACTCGGCTCCAAGCTTTTCCTTGCTGGCTGCCTCAGGGGAGCTCTCTGAGCTTCAATACCCTCATCTACAACACACGGAGAGAGGTCAGGCCTCCCGCATGGAGATGCTGAAGCAAATGAAATCACGCATAGGAAGCACTTAACACAGTACCTAGCACATCGTAAGCGCTCAGTAGCTCTCATTATTAACATCAGTATTAGCAGGGCCTTATTATTATCATCCTTAGCTCTTTGCCTTCCTTCTCCACAGCCTACAAAGGCCATTTCCTGTTGAATGTACTCCTCTTTGCCAAGTAGTCTCTGATAAAAGCTGTCATTTGCGGAGGGCCTGCTCTGGGCTGGCTGGTGCGTAAACAGTTTGGAGAATTTTCTCACTGGTTTGTCAGAGCAAACTTGTAAGGAAGGTACATCATTAACCTCGCTCTACAGATACGGAAACTGAGGCTCAGAAGGGTTACCTGACTTGCCCAAATCACATTCAGTTAAGGATTCGAGTCCAGGGGTTCCTGGGTGGCTCAGGCAGTTAAGCGTCTGATGTTGGCTCAGGTCATGATCTCGCAGTCCGTGAGTTCGAGCTCCTCATCGGGCTCTGTGCTAACAGCCCAGAGCCTGGAGCCTGCTTCAGATTCTGTCTCCCTCTCTCTCTGCCCCTTCCCCACTCTCTCTCAAAAATAAATAAACATTGAAAAAAATTTAAGGATTCGAACCCAGATTTGTTCAACTCTGGAGGCTGTACTCTTGTGGTTTCTTCATTTGATGGGGGTCAGAGTGGGTGAGGGCTAAGGTGGGGGGGGGGGCTGGCAAACAACGAGAAACCTGTGAGGCTTACACTTGCGCCTCCTACCCAAGACCTCTGCCAAGCAGATCAGAATAACTACGTTTCCCAGGCCGTGCAATCCTGGGAGCTCTGGGAGGGAGGGACCCATTGTGCCCAGCCTAGGGTTGGCACACCTTTGGGGAATACATGGCCTCCTCTCTTTGACTGGGGGTAGCGGGGATTAGGAAGGGAGGGCATTTGCCCCAAGTCCCTCAGGGGATCAGTGACAGAGGAGGCCGGTCGCTGGGGTCCAGGTGGGGGCCTGGTGGGAGGCTCTCCCGCCCCTTCAAGAGTCTCTACCACCCCTTCTCCATGTCCCGGCACCCTCTCACTCGGCAATGCTAAATGTGGCGTGACCAGGAAAGCGCCGAGCTGGCCGTAACCAGACACCACGGTGGAGCAGGCAGGGGGCCCAAGGCGCAGGGCGGCCCATCTCTGGCTCCGCATGACCGCAGGCCTGGCCGCGGCTCCCCGGACAGCTCTGGGACAGCTGGGGCCTGCCTGCCACGCCTGGAGCTGGCCCAGAGCTGTTTTCCCAAGCTGTCCTCCAGCACCTCCGGGGCAAGGCCTGGGGCCTCTGGCCGCCCCCCCACCCCCACCCCGTCGCTCCCCTCTCCAGAGGCAGAACTGTGTGTGGTTAATGGCAATGGGGGTAGATTCGGTCTGTCCGGCCTGAGTTTGAGTCTCAGCTGTCACCCTGACAAAACCGTGTAACTCTTTGTATTTTGCTCCTCTGGTAAAGGGAGCTTGCGGACCTATCTCACGGGGTCGTCATGACGTTGAAGAGAGATGATGCGCGTAAGATGCCCGGCACATAGAAAGTGCTCAAGGACATACTTCAAGTGCGGCTGTGGCCTCTGACCCCAGGCCCTGGCTCCCCCGATGGCCTTGCTGCTTTAGGCCTGGCGGGCCTGGGGGAGACGGGCTGATGAGTCCCAGGTAGCGGCTGACCTTGCTCTTCGGGGACATGAACCTGAAGAGGTCTCTCTGAGCCCCAGCTTGGGCTTCCCTGAGGCAGCGGCGGCTGCCTCACCCGCATCCTTGTACTGGCCTCTATGCCCCAGGACATTATCTGTAGCCCTGGCTGACTGCCTGCATCTCAGAGGCCCTAACTGAAGTTCACAGCCATGGCTTTTACACTCTGACCTGGCCAAACCACCATTCTTGCCTCTCCCCTCCCCCTCCCCCTCCAGGCCCCCCGAGGACCTTAGTTTTAATCTAAGGAGCCCATATAGGGCTAGAGGCCCAGCCCTCTATTTGCACGGAAGATCCAGAAGTCCTTGAATGGTCTTCAGTGCGGGGCTTCCTCTGGGTTGTTTTTATAAGGGAGAGTCCCTGATTCGGGGGCACCCCCTTGGTCGCCTCAGCCCAGTCTCTGTTTTATGAATAAGGAAAGGAGGCCCAGAGAAGAGGCCCAGTGACTTGCCTAAGACCACATGGCCTCGGGGCGCCTGGGTGGCTCAGTCGGTTAAGCATCCGACTTCGGCTCAGGTCATGATCTCACGGTTTGTGGGTTTGACCCCCGTGTTGGGCTCTGTGCTGACAGCTCAGAGCCTGGAGCCTGCTTCAGATTCTGTGTCTCCCCCTCTCTCTGACCCTCCCCTGCTCATGCTGTCTCTCTCTCTTTCTCTCTCTCTGAAAAAAAAAAAAAACCCCAAAAAACATTAAAAAGACCACACGGCCTCTACCAACTGTATTCAAAAGGGCCCTCCTGCCTCCAGGGCTGAGTGGTGGGGCTCTGATTGGTGTATATGGGGGTGGGGGCTTTGTCCAGCACAGGGAAAGGCTCGTTGTGGGGAGAGGGATGAGGCTGCCCTGGTCCCTGACCCTTCCTTGGGGTAGCCAGCAGTGCCCCTGAAGTTGGACGATCTAGTTCAGAAGCTCTAGGGGCACCTGGGTGGCTCAGTCAGTTGGGCAGCTGACTTTGGCTCACGTCATGATGTCACAGTTCGTGGGTTTGAGCCCCGCGTCAGGCTCTGTGCTGACAGCTAGCTCAGAGCCTGGAGCCTGTTTCGGATTCTGTGTCTCCCTCTCTCTCTGACCCTCCCCTTCTCATGTTGTCTCTCTCTCTCTCTCTGTCTCTCTCAGAAATAAATAAAAAACGTTAAAAAAAAAAAAAAAAAGAAGAAGCTTTAGAGGCAGGATCAGGTTCGAGTCCAGTAACTGTGGGACTTTGGTTGAGCAACTTGCTTAACCTCCTTCCCCGGGCCTCAGTTTCCTCATCTGTAAAAGAGGGCTAATAATACGTACCTCTCTGAAGCATTAGATGAAATATTGCTTGTAAATAACTTAATGCATAGTACATGCTCAATAAATAATAGCTATTATTAATAATTAGCAGTGGGACAGAGCTAATTTAAAGCATGAGCTGGGGATGGGGCGGGGGAGGGAGAACAGAGGGAACTCCTCTTTCCTGCCTCCCACCTCGGTCTCCATGACATCATCTTTCCGCATTGGCCCAGGCTAAACTTCCCTCCTCTTGACTCTCAGGCCTCAGAGATCATGCCAGCTACTCCCATGTGGTAGAGCTAGTGCCTGTGGCAACTCCCAGGGCAGGTGGGAGGCGGGGGGGGGGGATTACTCTGTTGCTTGGGGTCCCTCAGGAGGCTTTCCTAATGGCTTCAGTGTCCTGAGGGCGGGAATTTTTTTTAGTGTTTATTCATTTTTGGAGAGAGAGAAGGGACCGAGAGAGAGGGAGACACAGAATCTGAAGCAGGCTCCAGGCTCCGAGCTGTCAGCCCAATTGACGCAGGGCTTGAACCCGTGAACCGCGAGATCGTGACCTGAGCTGAAATCAGACGCTTAACTGACGGTAACTGACGGAGCCACCCAGGTGCCCCCAGAGGGAATATTTCATTGAAGTCTAACCTCTACCCTCTCTGCTTCTGTTCCAAGACGCGTGGTGGGATGTGTGTGTGCAAATATCAGCAAACCAGTGCGGGAAGTCCGGTCCGCTCTCCTCCTTTCTCAGATGCCAGGCACTCCCCTGACCCTGCCGCTTAGAGTGGGCTTCCCTGCCCCACAGCTTGCCCCCTTCCTGGGCTGGAACGAGGCCTCGGCTCTCAATGGCGGACTGTGTCCTGGGGTCCCTTCGACCGCGTAGACAAGCATCCTCACACAACTCTATGTCTATAAAGCCCTCTGCGGCTTACCAAGCGCTTGTATCTGCATCTCTGATCTCATTTC